CATTCTTTGTGGGCATACAGCAAAGTGTCATTCAGAGCAATGATCACTACGCAGAGTGAAAGATTTAATTCTGACTTCTTTCTGAACTCAGCTGGTTAAACTTGGTGGAAAAATTACAGAAGACTGATAGAATACCCTCTGAAATCAAAAAGTAGAATTTCTTTAAAATGCTATAAACCTAAGAACAATATCTGGATAAAGTTATTTTTTATAATGGAGGACAATTAACTAAATTAAACTTGCCAAATAATATTACTATTATGTGCACTTATTTCTGCAACCCTGCCAGATTCAATTTGTTTATTGGTACAGTGGCTGACACACAGGGGACATTTAAAAAAATGAAGACTCTCCTCCAAAAATCTGTTGGATTACCTGTCGGTAGCAAGTGTGTCCAGAAATTGTAAAAAAAAAAAGCCTTTGTTTTTAGTTAAGTCCAACATGGCACCCTAAAAACATCCTCTCTGAAACCTCTTGGAGTGTAAGAGACATTCCATTTCTGGGGGAAGCTGAAAGATTAGCAGTATACACTAGGACTACCATACCTTTCCCTAGTTGCCATAATCTTAGGAAGTCTGGCAATGATACAGGGAGCACGCATTAACTTATCATTCAGGTGAAATAATTTCCATAACCTTACCATACTCCACTGCCAAAGTAATCTTTCTTCTTAAGACACTTTCCCCAACTGCTTACCTGATGAAAGCCAAACTCTTTAGGGTGACATTCAATGTCCTGCATAATTAGCCTTTCTAACAAACAATCCACACTGGAGGTAACCTGGATTATTCATTCATTTCTCTTTGTTCCCTAAATTTGTCTCTACCTCAGTGTCTCTGTTTTTGCCATTCCCCACCCCTACCCCATCTCCACCTGCACTCTTCTCTGTCACTTTAGAGCCCCTCAGATGCCCTGACCTCTGTGAAAGTGATCTTCTCAACTGGTTCTGTTGAAAAGAACTGATCTTTTCCTCTTCAAAGAAAAAAAAAAAAGAGCATTCTAGTTTCTCTCCTTGGCATGTCTCACATTTTAATTTATATTATAATTCTAGCCCATTTGGTGGCCCAGTCACCTCCCTCACTAGACTGTAAAGTCCTCAGGGCAACAGGCTTTTTCATTCACCCTTGTATCCATTCCAGATAATCAAATTCTCTAGAGCTATACAGTTCTACACTGATGAATGATAAAATGTCTTTATATCTTCCAGTGCCTAGCACCTAATAAATGCCTTTGGAATGAAACAGAGAAGATGCTTAACAATAGTTGAACTCAGTTACTAGAATTTTGTGCTGTCCAAGATCTCTTAAAAGATCCCTTCCCATTAAAGTCTATACAAGTTCGATCAATTCCCCAATATTAGGCGAACTCTTTTCTACCTTATTAAAGACTTACAAAGAAAGCAATTCTTCCTAAAAAAAACTTCACTGTTCACGAATTTTTAATAGGAAATTATTCTATGGTTTGACACCAAAATCCAATTCAGACTTTTTCCACTTATAACCAGCACAAAAATCATAGAAATAAAATGCAATGGTCAAAGAATTTATTTTATGTCCAAATTAAAGCCTGAAACAATTAAATTGCCACATTATATATTATACACAAAGCAATACAAAACATTAAACTCAAACATTTTTTGTTTGTTTTCTCAACAGAGTATTTCAAAGGTCACAATCACAATAATTGCTGAGGGTGGTGCCTTTATCCCTTCCTGAAGTGAGGTATATAAGCATATCATTTCTACTACAAACCTGAGCAGATTTCATGCCATATAGACATGGAAAAAAACTGCCAACAAATATGCATTATTAAAGGTACATTTTATTTTATTTTTTGCTGAGGAAATGGCTTGTAGGTCATAGGCAAAAGGATTTAAGCTGATCATCCCAGCACAAAGGGAAATTACGTGATTTGTATGGCATAGTTATACTTCAATACATGACACATGCATAACGTATGTGTATTTGTGTGTTGTGTGGAAGGTGTAGGTAATGTCTACCAACCAGATTTATCAATTTCTACACTGATGTTTCTATTCTTATCCCAATGTAAACAGAACAACAGTAAACTGAGCTGCTGATAGATGTTCTCCTTAACTTGAATGTCTTAGGACACTGAAATAATAGAGTTCAATAATTTCCCTTGAGAATCAGCAAGCAAAAATAGATCACCTTGTAAGATTCAACAAATGCCATCATGGATCTTAGCTGCAAGAGTATGGAGTGAGAGAGAGTCAGAGACAAGGAGAGACAAAGACTGAGAGATGAACCCTCCCAGTGTTGGTGTGTACAGGTTCAGAAGTGACACCAATACTAGCCTGCTCTATTAGGCTGTTACCAGAGATGTTGCATTTTGTGGGCATGTACTATTATAATAGGGTTCTATTTCACATATATAATTAAATATCTTATACATACACAGAATTATGCTAGATCAACAAAAACTTCCTACATACAAAAACACACTGGTCTACAGGGGAGAATAATAATTTAATGGCTGCAAAACAAAAATATGGGAGATGGAAGAATGCAGTATTATAGAAAGATGTTAAATTTGGAAGTTGCATCCTTATCCACTCTTCACCAAAAAAAAAAAACCAAAAAAAAACCAAAAACTTTTTAGGGCCATCTCTTTATTTCCACCATTATTTACTTGGGCAATTAATGTCTAACAACAGACCCATTCTCTCTTTGCACATAATCAGCATTAATGTTTAGTAGATGTTATATATGTATATGTGTTGAAGGAGGGGAACAGAATGTCTAAAGGCTTAAGACCGCAGCGGTGACCATTTTATTTTACAATAGCAACCTAGTAGCAGAAAATAAGTTCTTTTGAATCTCCCAATATGAAAAAAAGCAGCAAAAGTGATATAATTTTGAAAATTTACATTGCTGTATGCAGATACTGCAAAGAAACACACCCAGCGTAACATCTGCTTTGTAGCTTACTATGATGTCCTAGAGCAACAAATTCTTTTACACAGAATTTCAGACATAAATCTTGATAACCATAAGAGCTATTAAAGAACTTACCAAATCAGCCAAATAATTGGCTTGAAATATGGCTAAGTTTACTTTTCACCCTGGTTAATGGCCCTAAACCTTTTAGAAGGCATAACTAGCCATTATATTCTCTCTTTCCACTAACTAAATTTTCTGCCAAAGCAAACAAGACTGTTATGTTACTTATTAACCTTTGAAAATTAAGGATCTGGTCTGAGTATTTTTTTTTCCTCCTTTGTTCAGTGCAGGTGACAGAATAGTCCATTCTAATCAGTCAGCACATCTACAAGAACAATTAGAAATGCTACCATTACTGTTTTTGAGAATATTTTCACTGGTGTACATAAACTGAAGACCAAAGCATCCAAATTCTATTTTTCTCTCCATGTAGCAGATGAACAACATTTGTTGCTTTATGTACAGTTTCTGCCAAGCATTTGGCACAAACATTTGGCCAACTTCAATGACGTTTTAGATGTAATATGACATTTTACAAATGTCAGTGCTAAGAGCGAGCAGCAAAGGTACTCAAACTGACAAGAGGGCTGAGATGTGTGATCACAGAGGTGTGGAAGATAGATTAAATACTGGCTGAACTAAAGGACAGGGCTCTAGTAATGGTTTGTATTAGCAGCGAACAGCATTTTTGTATTACCAATGTATTATATTAGGAAATCATTTTTGTAATACTCTTATACAAATTTTGGATAATAAACTTCCAGCCTGACAGAAATTTAGTGAGCTTTTTTTTTTGCTTTTATTACAAGCATATAATATTAATTGGCAAAACACTGAATACAAGCTTCACTATCATAAAATCAAAACATTAAGCAATATTCCAAAAAGATTTTTAGACAAAAAACTAGCCACCAAGAGTACAAAAATTACACAGCAACACAAAGCATAAAAAATGTAAACTTTCAAACGAAACAGTCAAAAATATCTGTGGTCTCATTTCTCTAGACTGCAATCGTTTCAGGTCTTTCTTTTGCCACACAATGATGTTAAAGGCTTAGTGGTTGCAATGTCAATTGTCTTGTACTTCTAAATCTGTCTCATCTGAGAAACTGCTTTCCTTATGCCCAATTCAAAGTTATTGGGATGTTCATTTACACCAATGCTTTACATACATTTTAAGCTAAATTCAAACTTCAGCCCATTCTTCAAACATAAGCTTATATATGAAGGAATTAAATGTAATGATAGCACAAACAAAATGTAAATATGCACAACTTTTTTCTAAACCTTAATCTTTTCAGAGATGAAAATTTACCAAAACAAACCAAAATTCCAAGCCAATCTGATGTTCAATTAGTTTAATGCTCTCTCTTCAAACTTCATGTTTAATAAATAAAACAGAAAAAATTAAATATAAAGACCTAAGTATAATTTGGATGAAGATTTATAAATCCTGACTCCCAATTTCCTTTAAATCAAAGCAAAGAAACACATTAGTTATGTTAAGGTCACACCTATGAGGTGGTGGAACTATGTAGTTACCTGAGGAAATACAGAAATGTGGATTTTTCTTTTTCTGTAAAATATACAGTTTAGCTGTCTGCATTAAGTTTCTTTTAAAATACTTTTAAGTATAAATTTATCAAATATTCATATATGTTGATGTATAAACTGGTTGACTTGATCCTATATAGCATTTAGTTCAATGGTAAATTTCATAATTACTGTAAAATACAATTATATTTATCTTCTATTAGAAAAAGTCCAATGAATCCCCAAAGATGTTATTATAAAGACAAGAGCCAGGTAAGCTTTCAAAGACTCATTGCCTACTGGAAAAAATAGCACCATCATCCTACAGTCTGATATTTTACATGGTCCCATATCCCCAGAGGTTGTAGCATTGTGTATACGATTGCACAACCAATAAGACAAATATTCCCAGGTTAGATGGTTCACAAAGATACCAGACATAACAATGGCACAAAGCAATGTCAGACAGGTGGCCAGTCTTGCAGAACACGTCCACACTTCACATTAAGGTTTCTTGCCTAATCATTTATTTTTAAATATTGCTGACAGGTAGTTCTTTCACACGTGCATGTGCACACACACACACACACGTACACACGCACTATTTTAATCTCATAATGTCATTCTTACAATCAGAAAAAGAAATAAAACATGAAAAAGCAAACCCAAGTAGCTGGATGTACACACTTTAAAATCCCACCTACAATTAATTACCTTTCAGTTCAGCAGTGAGTAGATGCTACATTGCCATTCCAACATAGGTCTAATAAATGCACGTTTGAACCTATTGCACAGAAGCAGAAGTCATGCTCTTCATCCACATAAACAAAAACATACAAATCAAAAGCTACTCAAGGTAAAAAGAAGCTTGTAAAACATCTCACAATTTCATTTTATATGCCCGTAAATAAAGCTGGACCACGGAAAACAAAATATTTGGATGGCAAATTATGATAGAAGGCTTAAAATAGAATAAATAATTTTATAAAGTTAAGTTTTCTTTTTTTTTAAACCCCCCAAATCTTAAATTCAATATTATATATTCTATCTGAATTCTCTATTTTCAATGAAAACTCTATCTAGTGAGACTAATGCCTGGGGAATCCGTCTCACTGCTGCTGAAGATAATTCAACAAGATAATTGAGCTGCAACTGTTTGACCAGCTAAATAGTGGTGAAAACTACTTCACAGTAACTCCACCTGCATGAAAGTACTGAACAAATCTGAATGATTATCCAAACACAAAGTGAGCCTGGCTTTCATTCTGGGGGCAAAAATGCACATTTTAAACAATTCCGCCTTGAATGAAATGTTTTTTGAAGCTCCATAGAAGGGAAGGAAGCAGGATCTGACTTTGAGGCTTCCCTCTGCCGGTGACATTTACTTAGGCACAGTCCCTCTTAGTAGAGAAAGCTACAATAAGCTAAGCCAAATGGAGCAGAAAACTCCCCAAGGAAAATAGTCCTGTTGTGAAGAGATTTTGACATGATGCAATTTTATAAAAATAGGTACTTTTGCCACTGAGGTTTTATCGGGTTAACACACTTACAAAAGCAGAGTTAAACACAATAATTAATAATCAATAACCAGTTAGAGATGTTAATACTGGCTTCCATATATTACCTACATATCTATACATAGATTACCTATATTTAAACATATTGACATAGCACCATAGCAAATTCAAGTGATTTTAAAGATAGCTACAAACTTACAAATATGTATAATGCAGACTGTTATGAAGCCAAGTTACAACTGACTGTGAATTACTTTTAATCTGAATTTGCATGTTGATACTGTTTAATCCTTTCTCAGTTTCATCACACAGGAAACTACCCAAGTTTTAAACGTTTTGCTTAAAATGGCATTGCAGTAATTTCTAGTCTTGCAGAATGCTTCAGCAGATTATATATTTTGAGGTAGACAGGTAACATTTATTATATATACACATATCTAATCATTAAACCCTCATATGATAAATCTGATTTGGATGGGGTATCAGGCTATGAGCTTGGGTAAGTTAACAGTTCAAACCATACCAGAAGTGAACTTAACTAGATTTATATAAAGAAGCTGATTTTAAATAGTCTGAATTAATAAGTTTTGTGTTTAGGTTTTAATTGCCTAATTTATGGTCAAATGGATTGAATTGATTTAATTAGCTGTTAGCTAAGAATGAAGTTGCGTTAATTATTAATTCCTTCCATTTCATGCATATGAAACATGAAATGGGAAGGAAAAAAAAGGAGGTGTACGAAGGAGCCCAATTATACCTTCAAAAATGAATTCATGAACTCCGCCACCAAAGATATACATGCTGAGAAAGATAGTCTCCTAAGGGCCAGCACTGCCAATGACACTATGCTGGACCAAATACCCTAGAACCACAGGCTCCTCCTCGACCCCACCTCAGTTTCTGTTACCACTGAGGGAGAAAGGTGAACTGCACAGGATCTCCAGGTTCTCTGAGGATGATGGCATTCATGGTATGTTTTAAACTTGGATTTCTCCAGTTCACAACACAACAAAAATGGGGAGCAAGGAGGGAGGGATGTATCCAAAAGCACACCAGACTTGTGGGGGGTTCGTTTGGTGACTTCAATTGGGATTACTTCAGTAAATGGCTCCACTCTCACTCTTACTTAGACTCCAAATCACTATTTTTATAAATGTTTGTGTGTTGGCAAATAGGGGATGCTATTCTGTAAAAAGCCAAAGATACCCATGTTTTAGTAAAGAAAGGGTTTAACAAAACCATATACTGACTGGAGTTTTCAGCTTATCAAGTAAAAAGCAACTTCTATTGGTCAAGAATGACTAGAATTCATTCTGAGTCCTTTTTAACCTCTTTCTATACCAGTCAGCAGTCATAATGTGTAGCTTGCAGAAATCATTCTAGATGAACATTTACCATAGAGAATGCAGGCTGGGTACACATGCATACAAGGCAAAGCTAAGAAAGAAGGCAATCATGTGGGCAAATCAGGTAAAAATGTTGGCCTTTTTAGGCCTGTTTGGCCTAAAATGGACAGAAATTGCCTCATTTCTCTCTACTTCATCTTTGTGTAGCTGGGTACAGCCTTTAGGAGGCTTTTTTTTTTTTTTTAAACTTGGTAACTACCAGCTCAAGCCAAGACCTCAATGAAGCTTTAACTACTCAATTTGGTAGTTGCTACCCAAGACACTATCAATTAAATCAGGCCCCTAAATAAGAAACAGAATGCCATTATACCTCCAGATTACTAAAACATATGTGAAATGAACAGGGGAAAGGACAAATGTACAAATTATGGTATCGACACATTATATACTTTTTCCATAGAAATGATTAAAAGAAAACTAGAATTGTTCTGTAAGCCACTGTTAAAACAACTAAAAACAATATATAACACTCAGCTCTAAGAATGAAAACATTTTCTATTGCACTGTCTTCATGACTAGTGATATATTTTTTAAAACAAGTTACCTCCCAGATAAGAACAGATTTCTGCAAGCTCTAACTCTGTATGACACGTCTACCTTAAAATAAGTTCAAGTAACATATTAAGCACTTGTGAGTATTCTTGTTAAGTGATCTGATGATATTTTATGCTATATAGTAAAATATAGAGGCAAACTGGGGGAACTATTATCTTCCTTTTATTTAATATGAAAACTTTAATGCCATGATTAAATTATAAAATTAATGGAATTCCCTATTGATATGCTATTAAATAAAATCTTAATAAAAATCTTCTAAGTCTTCAGGAAGTTAAAGGCAACATAAATACAGTCAATCACCACCAAAAGGGATCTGCAGTGGCTTTGGAAGGACTGGATGAAAGCCAAAATATTGAGGCAAACAATGAAATCAAATTCATAAAATATACGGAAATTAATTCCACTTTTCAAGACATGGAAAGCAAGCAAAAGTAATTTGGTGTCAGGAAAGTGACAGTTATATCACTATTACATTTATTAATCTGTCCTGTGAAATCGCAGCAAAGAGACGAATGCTATTCAGCTACATAAAACTGTGAAGTGTTTTCATAATCTGTAAACTTAGTGCTGGTAGTGTCTTGTTGAGTTGTGAATTCTTTTTTTTTTTCGTACAAAAAGGTATAAATATTCTCTTTCAGAAATCTGGTTCCCACGTCACCCAGAAGAAAGATTCTGAAGTATGGTGTGCTGTGAGATCACTGGTCCTCCAGAACAATTCTACTGGGTCATGTGATGTGAGTTAAGTGATGCACTGAGAAGGTGCCTGGTGATAGTCTCTGCAAAAAACTCTGTCCCAAAGGACACTAAAGTTCTCTTACAGCAAGTCCATTTTGGGTCTGTAATGTAGCAGTAGAGGTGCTTTCTGTAAAAACAAACCCCCCCAAATAGCTAGGTTATTAATGGAGAAAGATAACAGAACAAAAACACAAAATAAAAATATCTGTTTGATATATAATGAAAGAACAAACTAAAGAGTTCTGTTTAAAAATGCTTTTACTATAAAGAATCAAATATGGTGCTAACCAAACATGAACATTTTTGATTCTCTGTAGTCATGAAGCCCAACAAAGTATGGGATGAGAAGAGATCATCTCCTTTTTTGTACCTTTCATCATTAGACCCCTGGTGGTTCCTTTCGGCCCCAGAGATCCCAGTTGTGATAATCATAAGATCACAGACTGAGGCCTTAATGGTCATCTAGTCTAACACTCTTGTTTTACAAATAAAGAAACTGAGGCTTAAGGTTAGATAACTTGCCCACGGTCACATGGGAAGGAAATGGCAACTGCCAGGATTCTAACCCTGGTTCACCCCCCCCTCCCCGGTTGCTATAGATGCTGCATTCTTCACTCGACTGCTCTGACTCTCTTCTTCCCAGTCTCCTTATGTCACCTGAACTGTCATCTCTGCTATAAACAATGGGGCCCGTCCTTCCCACCTGCCCAGAGTCAACAGGAAGCCAGCCAGGCTTCCTGACACCACCCACCTCAGGAGCTCCTTCTTAACCCCTCCTCTCCCTCTCTGGGATTTTTAGGGTGACCCATGCTACACCTAGCAGCTTCGTATACTTTTCCTGACTCCTCAAGGGGACTGCAGTGGTATAATTTATTCCAGGAAGCTGTGACAATAGTTGTCTGCATGAGGTAAGAAAAAGGAAATGTTGGAAGGAGAGAGGTAAGTGAGTGAGTGTGTGTGTGTGTGTGTGTGTGTGTGAGACATCTGTGTGCCTCTTTCTGTACTTAATGTTCTGTGAAAAGCTCTTTTTAGGATGGATGGCTTATATGCCATTGAGGTGTAAACTTATCCCCTGGCTTGAGTCTTGGAAGAGGTGGCGGGGTTCTCATGTAAAAGGTGAGGAATAGATGAAGAAAAAGGAAAGGATCCTACTGGTGCCCCTCAAATGCTCTCGGTTCCCAGAGAAGGAGACAGAGGCAGAGGAAGCATGGCTATTCAGTCAGGAATCTTTACTGGCAAATGTTCTGCTGTGGGTCTAAGACTCCTGAAAACAAACCGCCCCGGGGAAAGTAGCTGTAATTGTCTGACCACGATGTGCCCAGCAGCTATTCCTTAACTGTCCCTGAGAGCAGCCCTTTGCAGACCTTGCCACAGTGGTGGTAGTCGCACCCCCAGAATACCTCTGGACCACACTACCTGCAATAAACAGAAGTAACCTTGACTAACCTTTGATGCTTCATAGGATAACACACCCTGTAGGTATTTTTCTCTTGGGGTGACCAACCTTTGCCAGCTGCTACTTGCAATACTCCAAAGATAGAAATTATCTGAACCTGTCAGTTCCCTTACTGGAGAACTCTGTTCTCAAAAGTGATGAGGCGCCATGTTGCAAAAGATCTCACTCCTTCACTGAGGGAATTCCATGCTTCTACAAGCAATCCCCTGGATTTGTCCTTTTTAAGCATATGCCTGATGTTTGCTCTGCCAACCAGTACGAAAGGAAAGGAAAGGGGCTACAGGTGAGATCTGTTATCAATTTAGCCTTGTAACTAGCCTCTTGACTAATGCCCTATCAAGTCCCCACAATCTAACCACACTAATTTGGGGGCTCCAGTAAACTGCATGGCTTCAGCAGTATTCTGACAGACAATAGTTTTTGAGAACCACCTAAAATGCTGCTGTGAAATCTCCTGTTTTAAAGTGACCCTTTATTTGTGTTCAAATCATCATTCTAATACTTGTAGACAGTCTTAACCCCTGAGAGGAATAGACTACATAAACACACATGACTATTATTCATAGAAGAGACTATAAAACACCTTGTTACAAAACAACTGGGTCATACCTTAAATCTCCATCTAGTAACAACTACAAACTTGAGTGTGTGGTCCTTGCCAAGAATTTCTTCATTGCATAATATATCCAGCTAATAGAAGAGGAAGAAATACTTTAATTTAGGGTGGAATAAATGACAAAACACACCAGTCAACGAACACATATTACTACCTGTTGTAAATAAGTTAGACTAAAACTATCAATGACAAAAACTCTCTCTGTTAGTGAACTCTGAAGAACACAGTCTTCGAACAACTGAGATGCTGAGGCTTCTCCATTATATAATATAATTTGTAAGACATTATGATTTCAGGTCTTTGTGATCAGGATGATTGCAACCTTCTTTTTAAAGGGACAACTAATGCAAGCGTGGTCTATGCCTTGATGCCTAGAGACAGGCTTGGACGGCTATGATCTCTGCTGCTACCCACAGTCTAGACCTGTGACTTAGGTGCAGAAGGCGCTCCAGGTGAGGAAACTCCCTCTCCCAACACAGGCCAGTGACTGTTGTCCACTAGAACTAGGGGCATGGGTGGGGGGCACTGAGAGGTTAAGTGCCTTCTCCAGAGTCACAGAGGAAGTCTATGTCTGAAGCAGGACTTGACCTCTGGTCATCCTAACAGGCTGGCTCTTGATAAAAACTCCATGGGATGCCACAGAGAAGATGAAGTCATTCCTCTACAGTGAGGACAATGTATCCCCATCATTTCCTTAAAACTCAAGAGGGGTCACTAGCAGTATTTATGGGTATGATGAAGCATTTTATGAATTTCCCTTGCAATCTCCCCTCGTAAGAACCAGATGTGGCTATCTTACAGATGTAAGAGAAAACTGAGCTACACATAAATGTTTCTTTGCATTACTTAGAGGGGAAGAGAAAGGCAGAAAGTGTCAAAGAATACATTTAAACTGTTGTTAGTAGACTCAAACTTTTTTCACAGCAAAGACTCTGTTTTCCATTTTTCCCATACTGTCTTCTCCCTAAACCTATAGAGTGTTCTGTATTTGGTGGATATTCAACATTGCTGATAGCTTTCTCTCTTACAGGATTAGCTTTTGGAAGGGTACCATATTCTAGCTTTCCACAGTAAAGCACAGGGCCTGTTAGGCTCAGCACTCTCCCTCAGGTTTCCTTTACTCCCTGCTTCCTTTTACTCAACTCAACGTCTTTTTGACTTCCTTTCAAAGACAAGGCCTTTGCATAAAAACAAGGCTTTGCATATAAACCAAATAAACTTTCGGAATAGACTTGCAATTAGCCCTTCCTTCAATAAAATCACAGAGCCACAGTCATGGATATTTAGGGTTGAAAGGGATGTTGGATAGTTCATCTGGTCCAAATACCTCATCTTGTAAATGAAAAAACAGACCTTGAAAAAAGAATTGATTTCTCCAGAGTCATATCAGTATGTTAGTGGCAGAAGCAGGACTAGAATCCAGGTTTCCTAACATTCTTTTTGCTACACTATGCTGTAACATTCTATGTTAAGCAAATAATAACAATAATAATAGTAACTCACATTTATAGAACACTTTAAGGTCTGCAAAGTGCTTTCCTCACAACAACCCTGTGAGGTAGGTAAGTAAATAGTAAAGAATAAAAAATTTACTCAATTTTTTACTTAGGTAAAGAAATAGCAAACTGAGAAATTTGGGGTACTTGATTGCAAGGCTCCCTTAGGAATCTTCCCAAATACTTTAAAAACAAAAAAACAAAAACCTAATTAGTCATGATTTTTGATGATGCACATAAGTTTCAGGAAAGAATTGGATTTTTATCATGTATATAAGTATTTGATTCTTTTTAAAGAGGTATGAGTTATCATTTAATAAGATGAAAAGAGATGCCAATTATTTCTGAAATTTTGGGTGGAAAAATCTCAGCATCTCAGTTTATGCATTGCAATACTGAGCACAGAGCCTCAGAATTATCTTCTAAATGATTAAGCTATTTCAGTTCTAGACTGACAGACTCCCAGATTTGGAAAGGACCTTAAAGGTCATGTAGTCCAACTTGCATCTCTTACTGCATTCCTCACACTCTTCCAGTACAGAATTGACTACTTGTTCAGGAAGCTCACTCTATTATTAGCTAGCTGTAGTTGTTAGAAAGGTCTTCGGAAGAGTGAACTAAAATATGCTTCTTGGTAATTTTCACCCATTGGTCTTACTTCAGTCCTCCCGTGATGAGTCTAATCCTTCCACAGAGCAGCTTCTCTAATGTTTTAGTTAGTGATTATACCTTCCCTCCACACCTCTACCTTCAGTCTGATTTTCTTCTAGGCTAAACATCCAACATAATTCTCAACCACTCATTAAATATAGCATGTGCTTCCCAGACCTATCAACCATTGTGGTCACTCTGCCCTATAGTCATGGCTCCTGAGATAAAGTAACTTCAATGCTTTATGACATTAAGTATTTAGTACAGTTTTATTTGTTACTCACTGTGCAGTTCACTGAGGGGAGGGGTGGGTGGGTTCCAAGCCCAATTCAGTTTTGCTGAACCTTGCAAGGATCTATATTAAACACCTCCCCAAAACACCCAAGTACCTCCTTGTCCTTTCTCACTGCTCTATCTCCTCTGTCCTAAATAACTCTTGTTCAGAGTAAGTTATGTCATATATGTTCTTAAGATTAAAAAAAAAAAAATTGGAGGGGAGGGAAGGGAAGAAAGGAATAGTTTCCAACCAATTACTGTATAATATTTAACTAAAAAATATGTTGAAGTCCTTCTTCAGTGGATTTAAGATTGAGCTTCCTTATAAACATGCAGTTCTTAGACAATTAGTATTTATTTCTTATTTTTCGCCTTATTTGGAGATGCTTCTTACTGAAAAGTCCTTGCACATCTACTGAGCCAGTCCTGTACTAATAATGATAATGGTGGGAGCAGTTATAATGCCAGAGTGTATATGCCCTGTTATAATGACAAAGTGTATGCATAGCTATTTTACAATTGTTTTAAATTTTTCTAGTTAAAACTTGTAACAAAACAAGAAAAAGCTATTTCTAAAACGTATCTGCATTTACAAGTGTTGTCATTTACTTAATTTCCCATTTTACCTCATTGAAAGATGAAAGATTAAGTTTTTTGGCAATGAACTTCTTTAGATGCAAGACTGTTGCCTGTGCTGAGCAGCGGATCCATTTTCGTTTCAATCCACGTAATTTGCTGCTATTGCATTCCAGGCAGATGCTTACCTTCAAGAGAAAGTGCACACATGTTGGCAGAGCTCATTAAAAGGAATTCCACTGGGCTCTCCCTGGAAATGCTTTCTGAGCTATCTATAAATGAAATTATACCAAAGAACTCTGATATCCATGAACACTACAGCTTTCCTTTACCTTATTACTGAAGCAAAGTAACTCCGTCTGTGGCAATTTTATGTCTATTCATTTAGTGCACTCAAGATCTGGCTGTCGACCAGAAAAACAAAATCCAACACTTTCCTGTTTGTCCATATTTTACCATTTCATACTAAAGCACAACTCTTCCCTGGGTCACTATCACTACACCAAAGGAACCAAAAGGGAATAAATAGCCATGAGAAAATACAAGTTAAACCTGTTTTCTGTTGTCTCAGTCCAAGTTTGTACTCTGAATTTCAGCAAAGAGATTGACACAAGAAAATAATCATAGAATTTGCAGTCTTGGCCAGCTACTACTGTAGCACCCAAGAAACTTTCTGAGAGGGCCATAGATGGTTATTCTAGGTAGATCAACTACAAAAAAATTTTTGTGTGTTTCAATATGTCCCTTTACTGGGACAAATAATTATGCCACTCCTCAGATGGTTGCCTTAATTTCCTCTATTAGTACTAAATTAAATTATATTCAACAAACATATACTCTTTCTCCATACTCCTTTAGAACAACAATGTTAATTAATAATTAACCAAGGGGCAAAAAATGAGAGGATGATTCAGGAATCAGAATTAACCAAATGGGTTAGAATGAAAGAAATAATTTCCTGGCACAGGGCAACAAGAGGGAACCAATCAACAGGCGAGAGAAAGATGGTTTCAAGAGCTGTTAAAAAAAAATAGGGAAGGATATATTAATTTGCTTATCCCACCTCCTTCACTTCAAAAGGAAAGGAAAGATCTTCAGGATGTCAGAAAAAAAAAAAAAACAGGTCCATTTTGTCTCCCTGATGTCTTATATAGAGACTTGAAAAAGTAGTGCCCCTAATGAGTGTTGAATGAATGCATTAATGAACCTAAGTTAAGCTGAAAGACATAAGACGTGATAGGGGTAAATTAACACTTTATGGGGTTTTATAGGTAGGAGGTCAGAATCTAATCTTTACGTGTAATAATAAGAGTCAGGATAAAATTTTGAGGAGAAGCAGTAAAAAAAAAAGGCACCACAAGGAGGAGGTGCATTTATTTCTTCTCATTCTAAGAGAATTTCTTCTATTAGAATGGGATGGAAGGTACACAAAAGGAAAATGTATAGATGAGTTGGAGACTGCTTTGAATTTTAATAAGGAATTGAAGGATATATCAAATGGTTGCTAGCCTTCTATACTTTGCTAAAGATCACTGTTACTTAAATGGGATAAAACCAAAAACATTCTAATGTTGACTTGTGCAGAAAATTCTGTGATATAGGTGGATGATGCTGTGTTCAAGCCTGTATGTGTATAATTGCCCTCCCCTACTCCATAATAAGTCAATCTTTTTAAAAATTTTTAAATTTAAAAACTTTATGTATATATATTCCAAATTGGAGGCTGACTTAGTCTGAACACATTGGCAGCAGAGCTTCTCCATTCAGGCAGGCATGGAGAAGTCATTCATCATCTTTGTGACTTAACTTATAACGGAGTCTGACAAGGTTTCAAGGTTTACCCACTTGTACTAGCTAAAGACTTACTATCAGCTCCTCTAGTGCTACTGGATGGAAAAGGATCCTAGGATCACAGGCTCAAAACTGAAAGGGAACCCAGAGTCTGACCCTCTGGGTTTACCAATAAAGAGAACAACCTCCTACAGGTGGTAAGCGGTTGAGCTGGGAGCTGAATCCTGGACCTGTACCTCCGAATCTGGCGCTTTTCCCTCTGTGCTACATTTCCTCTGCCTCATGGACCTTCCATGATCATGAGTGAATCCAGTCGAGCACCAGTGGGGTATGTGACACTAGGGGGCTGAAGTCATGGCTATGGAATCTCTCTTGAATATACGTGTACTAAGCTGCTGTGAACTCTGTCACATACCTCTACAGCTGGAAGGGGTAAGAACAGTCCTTTCACAAACTGATGAGCTCTTCAGGAACCGATTTCAAAATGCAAGATTCTTTTTACCCACCACTTTAGCATCAGGTTTTTAAATTTTTAAACAACTCTAAGACATTTTAAAAAATAGAGTTATATATCCCATGAAATGAAGTTTAGTATTACACATTAAAAAGAATGAGCTCAGAGCTTTAGGAACTCATTTCTGAAACCTTAAGAGATCTTCAATTTTCTGGCTTATTACTGTGCAGAAATACCAACTTGGAATTTGCTCTGATTGTTGTTTGCTAGACAGAGATGGCAGAGTGAGTGAAACAACCTTGGTTTAGTTATGTTTCATCACAGGCACAAATATGGGGAGAGAGAAACCAAGAAGCTGAAATAGGATGATATTTTTCAGTGGCTTTTGGGTCTACTGAATGCTTGTAGATTCATTTCCTTATCTGTAAAATGAGAATCTTTAAGTTGGTCACCTCGTAAATGATCTCTAAGGATCCCTTCCAAATCTAACTCTGTTATCCTATTGGTATCATATCAATTATTCTACTATGCTTAGGTCTCTTTTCAAATAAAATACTGTGCTTCAGTCATGGGTAAGAGTAAGAGTGGGGAGATGTGCAAGCATAACTGCACTGACAGTACAGAAAAAATTCAGTCTGAACTCTATACATTATAGATTTACATTTCAAAATATATGGCATATATTGTGCTGGTGTCATTCAGGAAGTGGACTAGATGAAGTGTTCTATGAGGTAATCTTCTCTACAACATTTGCATGGGAATGCCCTTAAACAGTGGTTAAAGCTATAAACAGCATCAAACTTGTTTTTGTGGTTTTAGTACCTCTGCACCAAGGGCTGCAGAATTTGTATTTTTTACAAAGAACAAGTCCATTTCTGAGAGTTAACTACTACACTGGTCTACCTGCTGTAGATTTTCCTTGAAGTTCAAAGGTATGCTTCATGATTCACAATTGTGCATCTGTGGGACTTAGATTTTTTTTACTTCCTAACTTACAGCTTCCATTTCAGAACAGTTTATATCAGTCTACTTTCTGCCCAGTAAAGGAGCACTGGAGAAAGTGTCACTAACACAGCAGTGGGCTTCCTTTTGGTATTTCATTGTTATTGATATTGTCGTGCTATTTAATGTCAAACATGAGTCAAAGAAACATACTAAAGCAAAGATATTTTAATACTAATTACTGATGTGTTATTTCTAAATCTAGAGTCAGCCCACCAACTCAGCAAAAACAAAATCAATATCAAACTAGAAAAAAAAGATAAAAATGAGATGAAGATATGACATATAACTGAGGCAACTCATAACCCACTTAAACAAATTACTGATGCCTCAAAATGGGGACTGGATAAAGAACAGACATCGACCTAGACATTTACTATTTCCAAAAAAAATAAATAAAATTTAATCAATGTTAACAAACTGACAAAACAAAATTACCTTGTTCTCTTTGCAAAGCACAGAGATACAGTCACCAAGGGCAATGCTCATTTATAGAACAGACTAACTTGTAAGATCTTAGAAGGATGGTTTAAACTTATGAGAAGCATTGCCTCATAAAATAGCAAGAATCAGTGGAGGGGCTAACAGCTTTAGAGAAAAAGTTTGGTGAGAAACCCAACTAAGCATAGTCATCTTGAACATTTAAGGATAAAACTAAAAAGATGCTTACAGATGAAAAAATGCAAAATAGATACAAAGCTTTTTTTTAAAACAAATTATTTTCACTACAAAGTGACAGTAAAGCCACAATATTTAGACAGCACAGCCTCTGATGTGATACTACATAAGAAAGTAGTAACATTAGTAAAGAAAATAAAAAAAGAAAGAGCAGCTGGATCATCAGGCACACACAAAGAGGTCAAAGCTGGGAGGGCCCCACTTCTTAGGAGAGAACAAAAGCTTCACAAAAATTTCAGATCTTACTGCTATGTAAAAAAGGTGAATGAGAAAATATTAACAACTATTGACCTGTGTGCCTTTTTTTCCATTTTTACAAACTTTTTGTGAAAATAACTTACAAACATTGAGGTCACATTGATGAAAAAATGAGAAAACAGGCAAGCTTTTGCTAATTACATTCTATAGTAGAACATGTCCTTATAATCTCACACTTAACTGGATATCATAAAGAATATAAGATCTCATTGTGTCTATTGTTTGTTGACTTTTTTTTTAAGCAGTATGATTTAGTCAAGTACTGGCTTAAATTAAGGGTTTTCCTCCAAAAAAGTGCCCAAAATTATAAAAAAATTCCTTGAAAAAGTTAACAAGAGATAACTTCATTCAATGAGCCTCAGGTCATTAAATACCAAGTGTAGCATAAAATGGGGAAACATGTTCAGTTCATCAAAGGTGTTTTGTCACCATCATAAATGATGTAGTGTATAGGGTACAAAGGAAAGCTGGATTCCCCATTGATGATTCAGGTCTTCCAGATGTTCCTGTCTGCAAATGACATCCTGCTGATTGCATCAAGCCCAGAAATATTGCACAGCCTCTTAAATTAGATCCATAATCACTCAAGAGAATTGCCTAATTATGTACATAGGACAAGTGAAAAAGATGAAGAATGCTTATTGTCTAGATTTTATATGCAGTTCAATGGACAACCCACAGAGTTGGTCCACTGAGCAATACAATCTAATACAGGCACTGTGAATGTGCTGGGTCCAGGTACTGAAGAGGAGGAAGAGAGTAATCTTTGGGAAACTACATAGTTCTTGTAATGACCACAAGCTTCTCTCCAAAACAAAAGTTCATTTAAAAAAAATTTATTGAAGGCTTTGTTTTTACACCATATTCATTTCCCAATATACCCACCACCCCCCACTCCACCACCACTCAAAGAGCCTTCCTTTGTAACAAGCAGTACAACCACTGAAATATTGATCATGTCTAACAGCATACATAACCATATCCACAACCATAGTATCCCAACTCTCTCTCAAAAGGAAGATGATCAAAGGTCCATCTTGTTAACCACAAATTTCTTTTCAGTGATGCTGCATGGCCACAAGTTATGGAATATCACAATCTTCAAAGAAGTAAAGTTGAGGGATACCCAGAGACCAATGGAGAGGGGTACATGGTTGGCATGAAAAGGCTTCAACACATTTCCAACTAAGAATTATGCAAGGGAAACAGGGAAAAAGAAGTCACCAGGGAAAACAAGATGGGTTGGTCACACAGTAAGAACAAGAGATAATTGATAAAGAGACAGCCTATGTGCTCTATCACAAAATGTCAGGAAGGCCCCCAGTATGTAGACTGGATCCATTAAAGTACTGAGACAAGACTCAAAGAAGAAGGTGAAGAAGACATTCAAGAAGATTTACCTGTCATCTTTCTAAGATTCATAATCATAGAGAAAATTAGACATTATGCTTTTTAGAGACTTAGATTTGGAGTGATAGAATATTGTGCTTTATGACTCACCCAAAAGCACAATGTTTCGTGATTTGGATTTCTATTTCTCTGTGTATCACTAGGTAATGTGATGACCAGATAAAAAGAAACGATGCTTTTAGTTCTGAAAATAAACTCTCACCTATAAATATTTTATAAGTTTTTTCCTTTAATAAAGATTGATATGGATAATAAAGATTAATAAAGATCAGCTTTCTTTAAGCTGATCATTAATCCAAAGGAATGTGTTTGTTTCACAAAAGAAACCATTATTTTCTGTATGCATGTGGTACCATCAACATGTTTGGAAATATATGGATTTCCGTACACTCTGATTATGTTCATAATCACATGAATTGTTTTCCTATTTCCCAGAGCAGCATTTCCCTTATTTGGCCATTCAACATTTTGGGGCTTGAAATGAAATATATTGATGGAGTCCATAAATACAGGGGGATTCGGAATAAGGAATACCTCCAGGATAAACAAAAAGTTAGGGAAATCTTGCAGAAAAACAAAATCAATCCTATTTCTGTAACAAAAAAAATTACCAAATGAGTATTTCATATTTAATATTTGAGGGAAAAGTACCACTAACATCAAATTTTCTCACAAAAACCTTATTCATATTGTGCAAATCAACAGGGTCCACAGAACAATTTGGGAAACAATATCCTAGAAGGTAGCAATAGCTCACATTTATGTAGTACTTTAAGGTTTGCAAAGCACTTTACATACATTATCTTATTGGACCCTCACAACAGCCCTGTGAGGTAGGTGCTATTAATCCCCATTTTACAGATGAGGAACCTGAGCCTCAGAGGGGTTACATGACTCCCCCAAGGTCACCCAGTTAGTAAGTGTCTCAGGTTGGTTTAGGACCTAGGTTTTCCTGAGTAAAGGATTATAGGACAAGATTTTATCTAGGATCAAAAGAACAGATCAACATTGGTTCCTAGTTTCCTTACTCCACCTTTCAAAAAAGCAGCATGAGATAGAAGGTATCCCTACTCCTCCTAAGACACCCCCCTTCCAACTACATTACTGATCCCTTTCCTCTTGCCTCATCTAAGATCTGGCTCCAACAGTCATCCCATTGTTCCCATCTTCTGATAACACCTCCTCCACGTCTGACTGCAAGAACATGCTCAGGTCCTCCAAACCTAGCAAAGTCTTCCTTGACCCTTTTAGCTACTGAACTGGCTGTTGTCTTATCTCTATCCTTTCCTTTACTGCTGAACTTTTTGAAAAACATGTCTATGTCTAATTCTTTTCTTTCCTTACTACACTCTATCTTTCCAACTCCCTGTCCTCATGCTCTCATTTCCACAATCCTAATGAGATGGCTTCCTAAAAGGTCAGCAATGAGCTCTCAATACCAAACCCAATGGCCTTTCTTCAATCACAATGCTTGTGGCTGTCTCTATTGCTGTAACACTGCTGACCAGTTGGTGCTCAGGGAGCCTTGTTCTTCCCTTGGCTTAGGAGATGCTACACTCTCTGTCTTTCTAATCTCTCCTCTTTGTCTCCTTCATCCACTCCTCATTTTCTTCATGGTGTTCCTTAAGGGTCTGCCTTCAGACCTCTTGTTTGTCTTTAAACTTTCTCCCTTGGCAATCTAATTTTTAACTACAACTTCTAGTCAGATGACTCACAAATATCTCCTATTGTCTCTAGAAATTAGACTTACATCTCAAAGTATCTATACGAAATCGTTTCCTATATGTTCTACTGGCTACTGGAACTCAAACTGCACCAAACTGAATTTATTTTCTTTCTCTTTAAACCTACTCCTCCTCCTTACTTCTTGACTTCTGTCTCTGTAAGTACTATTCAGTTTCCTGTATCTCTAATTCTGGGGTTATCTTTCTGAATTCCCTTCTCATATCCCATCAATTCAAGGATCCAATTCATTCAACTTTTGTAACACATCTTCAGAGATGTGCTGGTAAATGTTTAATAATCAGCTCTCAAAAAAACAAAAACAAACCATGCATGACATACCTTTGAGTTTAATTTGTATTAACACTTTTTTTCTGTCACCTTCTTAGATTCAGACAATCAACAAAACACTCAATCAAATCCTGATTTGTAGCATTTGCCCATTTCCAAAGTGTAAATGCTCACCCTGAAAGTTTAACAATTGGCTCTTGGTCTCCATACCCTAAAGCTGCCTCGAGCACACTCCTGCACATCTTGCATTAACGCCTTCCTTCTGTATTCCACTCCAGTTGCCCAGGTACAGATTCTCATTTACTATCCACCCTGACAAGGGCAGTAATCTTCCAACGTGTTTTCCTATCTCTAATCCAACAAGTCCACTATGTTAAAGGCCTGTTCTCCTTCCAAACCATCCTTTTAATTGCTGTAAGGACAATCTTGTTTTTCAAAATGTGTAGTTATGTTGATCCTCTGTTCAAAAGGCTTCAGCAGTTCTCTACTGTCTGCCAAGTAAAGTTCAAACATTTCCCCCCAGGTGCTCCAGGTCCTCTATAATCCATCTTTCTAGTCTTGGTTCCTATTACTCTAGAACAGGGGTTCTTGACCTGGGGGTCTATGAATTTTTAAATGCTTCAAAAACTTCATTTCAGTACACTGGTTTCTCTTGTTACTCTATGAATTTTACTTCATTCATTTAAAAATGCTGTTCTGAGAAGGGAGTCTATAGATACTGCTAAAGGTGTCCATAACACAAAGTTAAGAATCTGATCTAAACTTTATACACCCACCAACTCACTTCTATCTTTTGCCCTCCTGTTGTGCACAGCTAGAATGCCCTTCCTTATCTCTTGCCATCTGCTGAATTCTTACTCATTGTTTAGAGGTTAACTAAGACACCCCCTCTTCCAGGAAGCATTTTCTAATCCCTCAAGGAGGCAATCCCCTTCTGACCTGACATAGCAATCTCATGTGATTATCACGTAATATTCAATATTATAGTTATCTGTATCTACTTATTCCCTTACAATAATGCAAGCTCCATAAGAACATCTAAACTTGGCACATCAAATTAGAGAAATCCTAAAATTCTTAGGATGTTCATTGAGCAGCTAATTCTCTTTAAAATCTACCACAATCTAGGCTTAATGATGGGATAAAATGCTTTTGTGAAGCCAATGTGTAGATGACTTTATGTCATTACCTGTTAAGAACAAAACATATTGGGGTAAAGCCATAGGCTTCCAATGTGCTTATGAACTTTTAAAATATGCTAAATGTTACATGTCCAGAAACATAAATACCATCACAAGAGCATTTTAAGACATGAATATTGATGGAAAGATAAACTACCTGTTCATCACTTCTGTGATAGTCATTATCCTCTTCTTGTTTGTCTTCTGATGTTTCTTTATTTGAACTGTCATCGGCTTTTGTTTCACCTTTTAATACAAAGGTAAATACTTTACTGATGAAATCCAAAATATCTTTATCATTACTCAAGTCTATGCAGTATAAGTTAAAGTGATATAAAAAGTCTAAATAAAATAGTAAGCAGAGTATCTGAATGTAGAACATATGCAAATTCAAAGGCAGATAACTAGGTGCAATGGATTCTAAAAGAACATGGCCTTCCTTAAAACTAGATCATTTCCCATACTCCAGTTACTTAATACCAGATAGGAAGTCTCCTGAATAGGCATCTCACCTTACAATATTTGATAAATTATCACAAGGTATACTGATATCTACCTCATCTTTTCTATATTGTCAGCTCTTAGAGCACCTAACATGATGTTAATATTTAAGAGGAAATTACTGATTTTTTTTCATCCTAAGTCCTAAAGGAAAAATCCATATGTATTCCCACATTATCTAAAAGTTAAGAAAATTTTATTACTGTTGATTTTAAAAAACAGAATCTTTCCTGTTAAAAAACAAAGTTTTAGCCTTTAGGAATAAAATGTTCCAGGAATTAATATTTAACAGCAGTCACGGTTAACCCAGAAAGAAAAGCAGAAAGGTTAAGAAAAGGAAAAAATACTCTATTAATAAAAAACACTAAGTAATTTAGCTCATTTCATGTATCAATGAAGATTATCAATGCATTTAATACTACAGTAACTGGGGAGAATATGTGTGATATTAATCCTTCACTGAAGGCCAAGTCAAACTAAGGGTTAGGCCAGGGCTTCTTAAACTTCTTCCACTCATGACCCTTTCAGTACTTCTTAAACTGTGGATCATAAGCCCATATGGGATTGCAACTAGACTATCGGAGAAGAGCAGACTTCCTTAGTGGTCAGACTTCATCTTTCCATGGAGACCTGTGATGGTGGAGGCTGAAGAGTGCCCCCTTCTCACCATGGTGAAATCAAAGAGGATACTACTCATCTCTACAAGTCCATCCCTTTCCCTTTATCCTCACATTCTTAGATGCTTTACCCTGTTGCCCAGAAAATTCTTAAACATTTTTGTTGATTTTTTTATCTTCTTTCTCTTTTGATTTAAAAAGCAAATAAATAAAAATATTTGTCATATAGGATGGCTTTCCTGAAGGGTGAAAGGTAGGGATACAGGCAGACATTTTTGTGATATAAAAATAAAAAATGTCAGTAAAACTTTTTTTTAAGGAAGTGACTTCTTGTGTCTATTAGGCTGAACTTTTTTGAGATGAACCTCTGTTAAAATGTCCTACTCTAAAACCTCACTGTAACATGGAAGGAACCTTGAAAGCTGTGCAAGTAGACACAATCTGCTGAAGATTCTACCAAGCAAGAAAGACTCTGAATGTGTCTGTCTTGCTAAGTACAGGGAAGCTCATCACCAGAAGGTGACATATCAAGTAATGAATCTAGTGGTCAGAGAAGTCCATGAAATGAGTAAAAATAAAAACCAGCCTTTGGTTCTATGTGGACTCTTCAACTTCTACAAGGAAGGTGATGACAAAGCAGCCGGGGGCGGGGGGGGCACATAGAGTGCTGAGAACTGCATCATATGTTAAGTCAGTACTCTTAATGTGAAATTTTTATCTATGACCAACAAGTTGATGGACGCGAAGAACTGAACTGTATCCATACCGACATTCTTGAACAACAGGAAGGATTCCAGATGTGGGGTGAATCCTCTATAGACGATTTAGGGAAAAACAGAGATAAGAATAGTACAAGATGAAGTGGAATAAAAGCTTGTAATCTATACCCACACTGATGGGATCACAGAATTATCTATAGAGCTGTATGTATCTGATCATCTATAGTTTTGAGATGATGGGAACATGGTACCTGATTGTTATTTACCTGGTTTTCCCTTAGGAGGAGGGAGATATTAATTAACTATTACAAATGACAAAGTGAAAAATCACAAGGCTCCCAGAGCATTAGGCATTCTGAATGGCATTGTGAACTGGGACTGTGAAAATGAACCAATAAATCTGATTCAGAGAGCTCGGTTGGACAAATCCTTAAATTGGGAATTTTGTTCTAAAGAGAAGCAACCACTCTCATTTGAGGCCATGGAGCAGAAAGATGAACTGTGCCTAGATTTACAGAATGTGAGCTAAGGATCAAGTTAGAAAGAAAAGGTGCCACTCAGTTGAAAACAGGATAGGTTTTTTTCACATAGGTGTAATGACTGTGTCTTTTCTCTTGTTCCTTATAAATAAACTCTAGAAAATACTTAATTATGACAGAATGTTGAGAGAAGTACCACAAGAAAATCACCAGGATGTTTAAAGGTCTCAAGCTGATTTCCTATAAGCTGAAATAACTGAGGAAAAGTTCTTACAGGAAGGAAGACTTGGGGGGAAAGAAGAGGTAATTGTGTTATCACATGGAAGGATTAGACTAGCTCTGCTCTCAGAAGGCAGAACTATGAAAAATGAGTAGAAGTTGCAAAGAGGTAAATTTAGTCTTAAAGCAAGAAAAAGATTCTCAATAATTAAGCAAAATCTCAAAGTGGAATGGGATACGTTGGGAGGTAGTGGGTTCCCCTGTACTTGTGGTCTTCAGGCAAGCACTAGATTTCCACTTGTTTGGTATAGTTATTTTTATTCAGGTTTGGGTCAGACTAGATGACTTCCAAGGTCCTGTACAACTGAGAAGGGTGTGTGTGTGTGTGTGTGTGTGTGTGTGTGTAGATATGGGGTAGGAGAGAGGCAAGCTAATAACCAATGCACCTAGAGATGATGACAATGGCAGATGGTGTGTAGGGGATGACATGGGACAGTCAGTTAGAGTTCAAGTACAACAGGTATCTGAAACCAGGAATTCAAATCAGCTCAGGGAACATGAAAGTCCAAGGGGCTTAACATCTCAGGTTAGAATTCAGAGGTCAATGAGATTAGTGAAATGTGAATGCTGGAGGGTAAAATCACTTGAACTAGTTCAGAAAAGAGATTTTATTCCCAGCTGATTTATACTGCCTCAAGCACAAAGGGCGCAGGAACTTCAGGTACAACAGATAAAGGCAAGCCTCAACTATCTTCTCTGAGAATACCTGTTCTGGAACATACTTCCTTATTGCCTCTCCCTCACCCAAGTCTATGCATTTCCTCTTCTTGTGATATATGCTCTGTCAAAATGCTGGTTGTTATAATAGTTTCCCTCTCATTTTCTTTGTGAAAATGTATTCCAGGGTAAACAATCTTCTTATCTACAACCTCTCCGTTTCCTGGCCCTTCATGAGAAAATGTTTCTTCGCTCTCAGTATCTGTATATTATCTTCACATGTCATTATCTGTACCAAGGTTCATGGGTGCCCATAAATGTTAAAAAAAATATAAGTTACATTAGAATACAGAATACTAAACACAGAATCTGAGTGTCAAGTAAAGCTTCTAAAGTTTAACAAAGTTTAAAGAGATTCTCAGTATTGCTGATTGCCACAATAACTAGTTAGAAAGATGACTTACCATTCCGATGTGAGTCTAAGTGCTGCTTTGCAGAGCAAGTCTCTCCTTTGATGTCTCCTGGCACTTCCATGCCTAATTTGTGATAGAATTCCCTCTGTTTCCTCATTTCCGCTATTAAAAACAACATTTATCTTTTATTTTAACAAGGCCAACAGAATGCTTTTATCATATTAAAACTCTACCCCATCAACAGTAAGATCTCATATCAAAACAGAACTGTCAGCTGAAGAAAACTGGTCACTTAGTAAATTGCTCTAGGGATAGAGATAGTCTGATATAATGGAGAGAGTCAGGATTAAGGGTTCCAGTCTTGATTCAGTCACTCCTGAGTGGGTTTGAGTTTGTCAAATGCAAACGGGAGGTGCCGAATGAAACCTGGTTATGCAAAAGAATAACCTGTAAGCCTCCTTAAATAAAAATAAAATTATGTGCAGCTGTCCAAATCATTGTGTGACTACTACAAGCCCCTTCCCCAATCTAGGCCTCTGTTTTCTCATTTGTAAAATGAGGGGAATGGCCTGGGTGATCCATCTATCTTCCAGTTCTGAAATTAAATGCTTCCAATCTAACATCCACAAATGCAATCTCTTGTCCTTCCCGTATAGCATGCCTAGCATAATTGAGAGTGTTCAAAAAGTATTCATCGGAGGTACAAGTGATAAAGAGCTGTTCGTTAAACACACCTACTAACAACCTCTTTCTGTGCCACCCTATTCAATCAGGATTATTAAGCACCTACTTTGCACATAGTAATTTATTGGCTAATCAGAGGTTGTCTGTTCTTTCTAATCATTTTCCACAAACTATTACTGATATGGGCCCCTAATATTCATTAAAAGTGAAAATTCAGGGGCAGCTCAGAAGCTGTCAATTTGCTGCATATATAGTCAATTCTCAATTATTCAGCCATGATGGAATTCAGCCAATGATGGAATACCAATTTGCTATAAGAAATGATGAGTGGTTGATTTTAGAAAAACATGGAAAGACTTGCATGAAATAATGAAAAGTAGAATGAGCAGAATCAAGAAAACATTGTACACAATAGTAGCAATATTGTTCTAAGAACAACTTTGAATAAGTCATTCTGAGTATTATAAATATTCAAATCAATCATGAAAGACCTATGAAGGAAGATGCTATCCACATCCAGAGAAAGAACTAATAAGTAGAAGTGTGTATAGTATGGTTTTACATATATACACATATTTGAGTCAAATGGTAGCCTTGTCTAGGGTGGGGTAGGGAGGAAGGGAGGAAAAAAAAGGGTAAAGCAGAGAAGAAAAGAAAATTTAGAAAGAAGCACAGAAAAGCAGGGCAGCTTAGAAAATGAGGTGTAGTATTAATCACGTAGTTTTCAAAATATAAAGCAAGCTGTGAAATGGAAATTCATGGTTTTATAGAGAATCCTCTTTATATGTTGTGCTACACATGAAAATATTCTTTTCTTTTGTTTTTGTTATTTTTGTATTTAAGTTCAAAAGGCACTCGTTGGCCAGAGTAAAGCTCAGAAACCAAATAACAAAGAAAAAGAACTGTCAACTGGCCTGTAATAAATGATCCATTTAGAAATGGGTTTAGTTCTAAACTTCTATGACTTTTAAACCCAAACAGAAGGTGCTAAAGAAAACCAAAGCCTGATTAGGCAAATAAATAACCTGCAAGCCTCCCTAAATAAAATAAAAATATCACAACAAGCTCAAACTAAATGAAACTTGAAAATTAAAGGTCATACCATTAAGAAATTAAAGAACCTTTCACAGCAATGGTGGCCGTGGAGAAGATTTCTTAACCCAACAAGTGATAGAGGTTATCTCACAAAAGATAAAATAGGTTATTTTGATTATATGAAATTGAAAGGATTTTATGTGAACAAAATTAACAAGACTAAGATGAAAAGAGAAGCATTCAACCAGGGGAAAAAATCTTTGCATCAAATATTTTTGACAATCGTCTGATATCCAAGATATATAGGGAAATAACACAGAACTATAACAACAAAAGTCACTGATACGTGGTGTATGGATAAAGACAAACAGTTCTCCAAAGAAGAATTGCAAATCATTAACAAGCATATGGAAGAATGCTCCAAATCATTAATAAGAAAAATACAAATCGAAACAATTTTGCAGATTCATCTCATACCTATCAAACTGGCAAAGGATAACAGAAGACTGATAGATCATACTACAAGGACTATGGAAAGGCAGGCACACTAACATACTATTACTGGAGCTAAGAACTGGTCATTCTGAAAAACATTCTAGAAAGAAATCTGGAACAATGCAAAGAAGCTGACTAAAATATCCATACCCTTTGATCCCAGAGATCCCTCTGCTAGTCATATATCCCTAAAGAAGCCAATGACAAAAAGAAATACACACCAAATATTTATACTAACACTTTGTGTAATTGTAAAGGATTAGAAACAAAGTAGATGCCTACTTATTGGGGTCAAGTTAAAAAAAAATTGTGGTATATGAATAAGAGAATATTACTGTACTATAAGAAACACCGAATATGATACATGCAGAGAAGTATGGAAACACTTATAAGAACTGATACAAAGGGAAGTAAGTAAAACCAGAAAAAATGTACACAACGTATAATACACAACAATGTAAACCGAGAGAACAATAACAGATTAAAAACTGAATGCTGTGATATTATATTGACCAAATTTGTCTCCAAAGTAGAGATAAGAGAATGCATCTCCTTTCTTTGCAGAAGACTATGGGTGTGGATAACTACATATAATATCAGAGTTGGTTGATATGTTGGTCTGTTTTTCTGAACTATTTTTGTTTTCTTTTTTTTTTAAATACTTTGTTATATAGGATAACAACAAAATGAGAAAAAGGAAATAATGTAGATGATATAAAATGAAAGCTAGCAATATTTTTAAATATATATATATATACACACACACACAGAGAAATCATGGTGAGACTACTACCTAATCTACCCTTCTCCACCAGTGAGAAAGACATAATAGCCGTAAACCATCAGTCCTGGTCTTTTGGGGTAAGAATCTGACAATGAAGACCTTGAAAAGTAATAGTGTGACATACCTTCCTCCTCCCCTCTGTCGGGTCCTTTTCTCTACCTCCTGTAAAGGCCTTAGGAGACCTGGAAGCCCTATTGGGTAGCAATGCCAATGCCTGGCCAGATGTAAGACCAGCTGTTAAATATAGACAATGCCCAGAAAGATGATTTCAGAGCAACTTATTTACCTTATGAAGTTTAACTTTTGACCTTGGCGATACTAACCCTGTAATAGATGGCTCTCAGGTTTTGTTAGAACCCATGGTCATTCATATTCTCTGTTGTGATTTGTATGGGTTCACATTACACCCTGGTCAATTCTTGTTGCCTGCGACTTCTTTTGGGCAACCCTTAAAACTTCATTTCTGGCTAGCCCTTAGATCTTTACTCTCTCACTGCCTCCACCTGTGTCCCACTCTGTCTTTTTGGCCACACAGGGGAACTATAATTGGCCACAGTTGTGGAGCTGCTAAATCTGTGCCCTAGGTATAACACATAGTCCATGAAAATGTTGTATGAACAGCAAAAACGGAGATCTCTTCCATTTAAGGTCACAGAACTTTAAAATAAAACATTTTGCCTCTTCCTGAGGAAATTTCCAAAATGGTACTTGCTACCATCTCAGACCAACAGTCCTGAGTAGAGACACAGAGCAGTATTACTAAGATTGTGTTTCAATAGGTACAAGAATTGAATCCTTTGCCACTAGTCTTAACTGCTTGAATAATGCAGGTAAAATCCTATTTAATGAACACCAATTTAAGAATGCATTCTACTGAGCAGAATTATTTTCCTGTCCTAGCAGATAGCTCAAAGTCAGAGCTTTGCTGATCTGGCTCAAAGGAATTTGATAAAATGAAAGATCCTATAGAACAGATGTCTTTGCAAATCCTAGTTCATAAAGCGGTCAATCTATTTAACAGCAATGTTGTGAATTTGGTTGGGTATGGATGCTTTTGATTTTCCTACATTTGTATTCTGGGGTGCAAGACTGGTAGTTAGCAGAGTCAAGGAGGTAGAAGGAGAGATGGAGGTAAGAAACTGAGATGGCAAAAAAAAAAAAGAAAGAAAGAAACAATACCTCCTTTAAAGTAGTTTCCATTTAAACACAATTCAAGTCTAATGAAGCTTACCTCATGCCCCATGAAGTGTTTTAAAACAGGATTAATGGCCTATTGGAATATTCACATCATACAAAGTTCTGATTTCACCTAAACTGAGAAAGGACCACAAAAAAGTACTGAAACTATACAATATAAATAAGGAAATTTATACTTTGAATCATACTGAAGAGGGCCTAAAAGACTCAAATGAATGATCGAGACATCAAAAACACAAGTACCTTTGTTGGTGACTATCACATTCTGTATAAAGCTTTCAAAGATGAGGCAAAGAACACTTCTCTGATTCCAAATGAATAGGGTAACAACTTCACAGCTATTCTATAGGCCAGCAGACAAAAGCTGGGGGAGTGAAAATACTTCTGTATCAGGCCATTAGTATTAAGTGCATGAATGAATCAAGCCCAAGGTGATCATTTCTTCCCTCCCCAAATTCTAAAAATTACAATTAAAGGAAAATTTCTGTTCTAAAATGTCTTTTCTTTCTCCTCTGAATAAGACTCATCCAAGAAGTCTCTCCTATGCTAGTGAGAGAGATTTTCCAACTTGAGAGGAGAGAGGCTCTGTAACGTATAGGTCTGTACTGCCAAAAGCATAGATAGTATGAAGGCTCTCACACCCAGACATTATAGTCCCAGGTTCCCCTCAACTCAACTTCAGGAGAAGACAACATATAAAAAGGAGCTGAAAAGCAGGGGGTGGGGTAGGCAGGTGGTACTAGCATGGAGGTGGTGAGGAGATATGGGGAGATAGTGGGAAGAACTCAACAATGGGAGAGGAGGGTCACAGGGGTGAATGAAGAAGGCAGCCCCAGAGGGAAAGGGAGAAGGTAGCTGAAGCAAGGTGCTGAAATCCAGAGTATGTAAGTACGCAGAACCCACCAAAGGAATACAGGATTAAAGAAATTTCCGTAACCTACTTGTTTTCATAAAATAGCAGGGCTCACACAAATCTTCACTGCTAGTTAGCAATCTTTTTATGTAGTAATTATGCTTCCCTATCTCATTTTTCCCCAACCCCCATGAATATTCCAAATCTTTTCCTCTGATCAATTCTTCAATTCCACAGCTTCTCTCCCTGTAAACACAACTGACTTTGCTTTCTACTTCCCTGATAAAATTAAGGCCAACTAAGCTAAGATTCCTTAATACTTTCCCCTCCAAACTGTCAACATCTTAGTATCTTCACCTCTCTCTTTTTTTGCCTAAGTATTTTCTCCTTCTTACCTCTAGTATCAAAGAAAGACACATCACTGACTCCATGGGTAAATGAGAAGCAGTTGCGACTTTTGCCAGTATTGGAACTCCCTCCACCAAATGCAGGCAGATCATAACCTGGTTATATGACTTAGTAGTAGTGTTTAGGGAGTTGCATGAGGTAAGGGCTGAGGTTCATACAACTAGTAAATACAAAAATAGGAATCTGAACCTAGATATTTCTGACTCCAGGTCCAGAACTCCATCCACTATATCAGATTGCCTCTATTCCTTGAGCTTTGCCAAGGCTAAATTTTACCCCCGTCCTTAATCCCATGCCAGCCTATCTTCTCCAGAAATTCAGAAACTTGCTGCATCATTCATTCTCATTCATTCATATTCTCTCTCTGCAAGCTCTTATTCTCTCTCATATTCAATCTCTTTCTTTTTAATGACTTCTTATCATCCATCCAGGAAATTGCTAAAGTGTCCCTAGTCCTATTAAAGTATCCTCAAACCTACTACATGTGAGTTTCACCAAAAAACCTCAAGAAAAAGAAGCCTTCTCCTAACACTGATTTTTTTTTTTTTTTTGAAAAGGCAATTGGGGTTAAGTCACTAGGCCAGGGTCACACAGCTAGTAAGTGCCAAGTGTTTGGTCTGAGGCCAGATTTGAACTCAGGTCCTCCTGTCTTCAGGGCTGGTGCTTTATCCACTGCACCACCTAGCTGCCCCCCTAACACCAATTCTGTCCCCATCTGCTGAAAGTAATCTTTCAAAGGTCACTAACTTTTAGCCAAATCCAATGGCTTTTTTTCTTAGTCCGTATCCTTCTTATCCTGTCTTCTATTCTATAAATATTTATTAAGCACCTATTATGTGCCAGGCACTGTGCAGGGATACAAAAAGAAGCAATAATCCCTGCCCTCAAGGAGTTTACCATCTAATGAAGGAGACAACATGGAAACAGATATATACAAAGTAAGCCATGTACAGGATAAACAGGAAATAACTGAAAGAGGGAAGCATTGGAATTGAGAGAGGTTAGGGAAGGCTTTTTGTAGAAGGGAGTATTTTAGTTCCCATTTAAAGGAAGCCCAGGAGGTCAGTCGTCAAAGTAAAGGAGGGAAAGTATTCCAGGCATGAAGGACAGCCAAAGAAAATGCCCAGAGCTGAGAAATGGAGCTTATTCATGAAACACCTAGGAAGCCAGTGTCAATGGATTGAAGAGCATGTGTCAAGCAATAAAGTGTAAGAAGACTGGAAAGGCAGGAGGGGGCTAGGTTATGATAAGGTATGAATGGCCAGCAGAGCATTTTGCATTTGCTCCTGGAAGCAACAGGAAGTCACTGAAGTTTACTGAGTAGGGAAGTGACATGATCAGACCTATTTGTCACATGAGACTCCATGGACCATATTTCTATCCTCAATACACTGTTGTGTCACTGAAAAGGCATACATTTATTAAGTATCTACACCATGCAGAGCACTGCGTTAAGCCTTAGATAAGACATCCTATATGCATGCCCTTAAGGAGTTTACTGCTCACATAGCTATACTACATAACCTCCACATACCTGCTAAAATAATTTTCCAATAAAATCTGACTATGTCTAACCATGTCATTAAAGGCCCTTCACACTTAGCATTCTGCCACCCATTTCCATACCTTTATACAAACTGGTCCCGAAGTCTAGAACATATTCCTTCCTCACCTTTGCCTCTTCAAATTTCTAGCTTCCTTCAAGATTTAGCTCAACTGTATCCTCCAACAGAAAGATGTCCTTGATTTCCACATCCAACACTAACTGTTAGTTTTCTCTCCTTTCTCAAGTTACTGTGTATGTAGCAGCATTTTTGTGGCAGTCAAGAACAAAAAAGTGGGTGCCAACTGACTAGGGGAAGTCTGGAAATACCATACATGGATGTGATAGAATATGAGAAATTCAAAGAAACACATATAAACTGGTATAAACAAATGCAAAGTGAAATAAGCAGAACCACAAGAATATATAAAATGATTACACTGACATAAATGAAAAGAATACTTAAAGGGAGCTAAAATCTAGTTATTTCAATAAAAACCCCCCGAAGCATGTAATGAAACATACCTCCTTCCCTTGGCTGAGAGGGTGGCAACTTCAGGGTCCTAATATTGCATAGATGAACCTGTTTTTCCTTAACTGTTTTCCTTTGTTATGAGAGAGGGCTGATTTACCAAAGAAAATACTCATCCATAAATGACTATGATGTACAGACAAATAAAACCTATTTACACACACACACACACACACACACACACACACACACACACAAATACCCCATGCACATGTCTGTTTGCATGTTCTACCTCCCTAGCAGACTATGAGTTTCTTGAGGACGGGGATTCTTCTGCTTTCTAGCACCTCACACAATGCCTTGCAGTCAGTAAGCACCTAATGAATGCGTGTTGGGTTAGACTGGGAGAACAAACACTAGGCTGACTTACAAAGCTCAGTGAATTACACTGCCAGGATGGTATAGGATAGGCGGCAGTCAGACTGACCAGAGGAAACCCAAAAAGAAGAATATTTTTGTGCATATACAGAGTGATCATAGGTAAGGTCTTTCCATAGAAATGGAAAAGAGGTTATGAATACAAGACACATCATGGTGAAAAAGTGGCAAATTATAAGAGGTTAAAAAAAAATCCATTTAATATCAGAGATTTGGGGGACATACAAGATCATAGTACTGTAAGAGGAAAAACAGGTGAGAGAAGAAATTCCATGGCATTTCTGCTATTAATGATAATGTTTTGTAACTAAATTTTGAAATAGTAAGACTTACCTTCTTGGAGGCCTGGTACCAATTTGTAAACAATATCTTGCATTGTCCTGTCATGACTGGCAAAAAAAGCAGAAAGAAAATTACAATTAAAAAACATGTGAAATTACATTAAGATGCCAATTGAAGCATTCCTTTTAAATTTCTTTTTCTATCTTGCATGGAGCAATACACAAAATCACAAAGGTTTGGAAGTATTTATTTTTTGCACTGTAAAAGAATCCAATGGGATGCATTCTGTTTCTCATTCTTAAAAAACTAAAAGCCATAAACACATGTTTTTTTAAAAATTATAATTTAAGAATATACTTTGTTAAATGAACATATTATATAAGTTAGGGATCATACACACATGAAAATTTACTAAGTTATAGAAAAGTATAAAAACATAAAAGAGCATTTTAATCATCTATATTTCCAAATTATTCTGGGTTCTGAAAAGGAAAAACAGAATTGTCTTAAATACATATACAGAATCATAATATCACAGATCCAGAGTTGGAAAGCCCTACCATAATTTCCAATATGAAAGCATAAGCACCAATAGGCATGCTCTGAGTTGATACAGTTTAGTAATAGCACTGGCAGGACATCATGTGCAATGAAGCCCTCAATGTTTTCTGATGGTCATCAGATGACTGTACTATTCCAAGACCATCATTTCTATTTTGGAAAATCTCTATACACTTATCTATGGTGAAAGACACAAATTAGCATTTAACTAACTTCAGTAATGAAGGGGGCCACTCTTTGGCAGAGGACATTGAACATATGCCCATGCTTTTTTGAAGTATTGATAAGTTTTGCTGATATTTTTTCTCTTTTTTCCCTTTACAAATATTCTTTGTTTTATATATATATGTGGGATGGGAGGGCAGAGGAGATACTGGGTGAAATTTTAGTGATTAAAAAAAACTGTAAAGTATCATAAAAATTTATTTTAAAAACAACAACAAAAACCAATGGAGGGGTATTATCATGACCTGTAAGATTTCAAGTGTAATTTCAAAATGTGATTGTCATGAGGAAAGGAGAGAAAGGGAAATGGAATAAGCACTTATATAAAACCTACTTTGTGTCAGGCAATGTGCTAAGTGCTTTAAAACTGACACCTAATTTTATCCTCACAACAATTCTGTGAGGTAAGTATTATTATTATCCCCATTTTACAGTTGAGAAAACTAAGGCAAACAGAAGCGTTAAGTGACTTGCCCAGGGTCACACAGATCATAAGTATCTGAAGCCACATTTGAATTCAAGTCTGTCTGACTCCAGGCTTAGTGCTCTATTCACTGCAGCCACCTAGCTGTGAGTGCTATGCAAGAGCCAGTTGTCAAATAAATTTCTTACTAGACAAATTTGTGAAATATAATAATTTTAATGAGACATAGTAAAACTCTGATTTGGGCAACATGAATTCAGGCCTTATTATATGTCAAAAAGCTATTTAAAGAAAAATACTTTTTTCTAAGCTACTGCTATTAATATTCAGGCTCACATAAAGTACTCTGAACCAATAATGTAATCCTACCTTCCTTGCAAGTACTGCAAAAAGCTTCCGAAAACACCCAACTTGAGAGCCTGATAATTATCTCAGAAATAATAGCTGCCACTGGAACCAAAAGTCTTAGCCATACTCCAAAGGGCAGAGGTAAAACAACAAGAAGAATAGCATGGGGTCAACTTTTAGCTGAATCAAGAAGAATAGATTTAACTTAAATAAAAGGCTCCATTTAGTTGACTTCTTTCTCTAATACCAAAATCTGTACTTTCAAAGAGGTAAAGGTTTAAGTTTATGTATGAAAATTTGCAAAGACAAAAGAACTGATGAAGCCTTATCTTTCATCTCCATATCTTACTATCAACAAGTATATTAAATTGTAGAGCATAGGAATATACATCTCTGGTGGTTAATGGGATCCAACAGCCTGAATCAACAGTGATTTTCATTGGCCGTAGTAATCCCCAATCTTTCTAAAGAAACAGAAAGGGTTTCTGCTGACTTCCTAAGATTATGTTATATAGTTTCTGCCCTGCTGGGTTCTACTTAAAAACTCTTCTTTAAAGCTTAATTCATCCAAAGATTTGTGAATATATCAGTATGCATAATCTCTCCAACAATGTAATTTATAACTCCTCCACTGCTAAATAGACTGTCTTCTTTGAGTTGATGTGGCCAAAAAAATACTTGCCACCAATATTTTAAAGATGAACCTTTGCAAACTACATTAGCCCTCTAATGGCAAACACATAATCAATTGCTGGGTTTACACTCAAAGAATTTCCAAATTGGTAGGATCTGCCGAAGTTCATGCTCTGTTGCCATAATCCCTATTTCTGCTCTTCTGGGTTGAAAGAATTAACTTTACAAGCAAAGAAGGAGACGGGCATGGCTAGATAATGGTTCATTTGAAAGAGACTCTGGGGGGAGCAGGAGGGTTAGTGGAAAGCTCAATGGGACAACAGTGTAACACAACAGTCAGAGCAGCTAACATATCTTAGACAGTATTATGCAAGGCATAATATCTCGAATGAGGAAACCACATCCACTTTACTCTGCCCCAGTCAGACTATCTTAGAAGTACTGTGTTCAGTCCTGGCAGCCACATCTTAGGAAAAACACTGATAAGATAAAAGGTGTTAAGAGTAGGGTAACTAGGATGCCATACAAAGAACTGGACATTTAGCCTAGAGAAAAAGCGTTGGACGAACTCATAAGTAGAGCTCATAGTAGTCTCTTTCTCAAATAAGAGATTTTTTTAAACTACTGTTTGCAACACTGTTTTCTAACCACCTCACCCCCTAGTCACAGAACAGAACTTAGAAAAGTGGCAGTTCATTTCTGTTGTCTAAATTAAGGCAAAGTTTAATTCTCTGACAGAATTCTAGCCCATCCAAACTTTTGCTCCCTTTAAATATAGGCGATTCTGACTTTTCATTGCCTCACTCTGTACTGCCCTACTCACTTGATGATTCCTTAAGACTTCAGAAATATTTCACTTCCCAGCTGCTATAGCCAGTGGCCAAATATATGTGCAGGGTTAGGAGGGCAAGCATAGTCAAAATCTTTGAACACCTCGTTTTAAGATGCAGTTGGTTTCCAAGAAGCCAGTGTATCAAAAGACAGAATACCTGGATAACAAAATCAATCCCACTGAAGCTGTATGGAGAGTTACAGATATACAAATCTACCATATTAGTTTGGATACATTATCTTCTTTCCAATTCTCTCTCTCTTCCTAAAAATCTCCATTTGAAGAATTCACAGCCACTTAAAACTTAAACATGTCAAAAACAAAGCAAAATTTCTTTTCCTTTCTGCTACCACCAATGATGTTACTATTATTGCAGTCTTCCAGTTGGGAATTTTAAAGGTCAATAGTCTAAGTCATATACTAGATTAACCTATGGGGTTTGTAGTGAAATCAGGCAATGCAAGTCACTGAGTGCAGACTATACTAGGACAGAAGTATCAGCAGTTTAGAAAATCAATGGCTGGGCAAATGAACAGGTAAATTCAGGAACAGGTGCAGAGGCATTAACGTGGAAGGGCTTCAAATAACTGAAGAGCAGCTGCTTTCACAGGTACTGCCCTGGACACTGAGAGCACCCTTCATCAAGGACCTCACTTGTGTCTGAGCAGGCAGGGCTCCTTCTCAGAAAGTCTCCTCCTCCTCTCTTTCTCTCTCTTGCCCCGTTTCCTTTTATCAAAGGACTCTGCTTCATTCCAGCCAGCCTGGACAGCTCTTCTGTAACTACTTCTTCACAGCCATAATTCACAACTGCAGCTTACATACACTTCACTGTTCAAAAAAGCTTTCATGACTCCCTGTTCCTCTAGGACAAAATCCAAATTCAGCTTGATATTCAAGGGTCTCCTCGATCTGGTTCCTACCTGCCTTTCCAGCTTTATTTCCTGCTCTTTTCCTTTAAGGCATCCTCTGTTCTATCCAAAGTAGACTATTCCCCAAATTCCCCATTCTGCCTTCTCCTTCCAGGTGCTCACACAAGCTTTGCCTCGGGCCCACTTTGACCTCCAAAGATAATCTCTCCCTTAAGGTCTAGCTCAGGGGCTACCATCTCCTCTGCAATCCTCCCAGATCCCCACTTGCTAGTGTTTTCTTATCTGGCTCTATGTTGTAGCTCCACAGAAGAAGGAAATTTACCTGAAGTCAAGGACTCTTTGGTTTTGGTTTTTGCATCCTCAGGGCCTTTCACTTAGTAAATGGTTGAGGAATTGAAGGCAGGAGCCTCACGTGTCTTGCCCTAGTACCTCACGAACTATTCTATGCCCAACAGGTAAATGTTGACTGATCGACTCAATGTAGATGTGAAGACACTGTCACAGTCATTCCCCATATGAAGGGAGGACCAGGAATACAGGTCAGGGTTTTAAGAATTGTCCCCTTCTGGGGATATAAGAAAATAAGTCATCCTTAACTGCAGACAAGAGTCTAGTTGTTGAACAGCTCTCTGGACAGTACAGCTAAAGGATTCTCTCAGCAAAGTCCTTCTAGAAGGTCAGAACTTATTGCACCTTTTACATTAAGCTTGAAATGTTGTGTAAACATAAAAAAATTATAAGCAAAAAAAAAAAATTTAGCCAAATTTAATTTCTGAAAATTAATTAAAATTTATTTTAAAATATGAAATTCTAAATCACCCTTAAAATTCAATCTTCCAATTTATATTGTTATTCTATTTGGACAAATATTTGTGGAGTGAAGAGAGATTATTTCATTTTAAAGGAAGAAACCGTGTAGTTCTTTAGGCCACAAGTCATCATAACCTATAGTGGCATACCCTAAAAGCAAAAGAACAGAAAAGGGGCACTTGGTATATGCATGAGGAACTGTATTTTAATCCACACCAGGACAAAATGTCATTAAATTAGCATAATTAGCCACAAAGGATATATATAAAATTAAATTTAAAAAAAAAAGATGAATAATTTTACCATACCAATATGCTGTTACCATACCAATACATAAAGTTATTTTCACGCGCCAATAATTTCATATCTTCTTCCTCTCTTATAATGTGTACTTACCCAATATATTGCAGTGGATGACTCTGATGAATAACAATTCTACACGTAGGACAAGTGTTATTTTCTTCCAAATACTTTACCAGGCAACTTCTACAGACTGTTTTCAAAAGTATATTTAAAGTTAGAAAACTAAATTCCCAAATTATAAAGTGCTCACATAAACTATTATGAATCTCTTTAAGTGCCTAAAAATGAGTTACCATGTATTTCTAAAAATTTCAAAAGTTCACTCTTCAAATTTTCACATGCATACCTTGTTCCTGGCTCCAGGGAGGAAATGATTTGACCCTCTATCACCCCTAGGCTGATAGTGGACAACAAGCTTTGGGTCAACAGCAAAGCCCTCCTCCTCCCCACATCATTCAATCTACTCTGCTTGCTTTTCTGTGTTTTGGGGATAAAAGATGAAAAATGGAAAAGAGGATTCAGGTCTGGAGAGGAGTATCAAGGGCTACAAGGTAACAGGACTGAAGTTTCTGAATCTGAACATTTTCATTGTAAGTTTGTTTTTAAAAAGCATTTTCACCTAGACCAACACTAAAAGGTCATAACCTTTCCTTTGAACTAACTTAAGAATGAAATGGTTTTTTCATTGTTGTGCACAAGACTGCAGCCCCTCCACACGTGAGCAGACGGGCTGCAGGGGCTGCTGTGCATCCTGGTCTTGTACAGCCACACCTAGTAGCTCTGGCCAGGGAATGTATAATACCAGCTTCACCTTCAAGAATCCGACACCAGAATATTCTGGACTGGTTAAAGCTGAGTATAAGTTAGTTGAGATCATTTTGAACAAGCTATCCCACCAGCATCTAAAAATATAACTAACCAAAAAGTATATCTGAATGAGTTTTATTTTCCCTAATCATAATTACCAGAAAAACATCTCTAATTTGTTTTTTCCATTTTCACTCTCTGCAGGGTAGGGGTGGGAGGTAGGCTTTCACCATATTTTAAAAACCAGTGCTCCCCAGAATCCTCAGATATATCACCCACTGGCATATTAACAATCCTTAGTACATACACCACACTTAAAATGCTTAAGATTATAGAACCACATCCTAAAGTTACACAGTGACATCTACCTTTCAGTTAAGATAATGCAAAAAAAAAAAATTCAATTGCAGTACAAGCTAAAACGTTAAATGATCGAACAAATAGGTTTATTAAGCATTAAAATACATATAGTAACATGACACTAAAGAGTATTTAGGATATTTATATCCTATTTTATGTTTACGAGAAACTGTCAGGGTCACCTTGATATCAATTCCTGCTGACCATGAGACATGTAGTTCTTTGCTACACACTCAAGTTAAGAATGACCAATAAAAGAAGCTGTAAGCAGCTGAGTAACATGATATAGTTGCCATCCCGAAAAGCCAAGGCAAAAGGCCAGCTGCTGGTACAATGATGCCAAGTTCAAGGCTCTCCAGCATTGTCCCTACATGACAATTTGTAAGGGCCTTAGATCTCATCTAACAGTATTTCCTGTCTCCTATCTTTTCCATACCTTAAGTTTTTTTCTATAACCCTAGAGAAGGTAGGGCACATTATTTCTAATTAGTTTTTGACCCACAGTGGTTTACTTATGATGATTAAGATGATACTGGGGTGGGAGGAATAGTTCAGGGAGGTGGTGTAAAGCAATGGTGTCAAACTCAAATAGAAACAGAAACTACCAAACCCTACATCCAGATGCCTGTGGCACATAATTGCCTTAGAAAACCACATGCCAACATTACCTAAGTTTTATTGTATTTTTACTTAGTTTGTTAAATATTTCCCAATTCCATTTTAATCTGCTTCAGGCTGCACTGGGAGTAGTGTGGGCAGGCAGCTGACATCTCTGATCTAAGGTATGATCTTTGGCCGATTTTGCATAGACTCTGCTGATGTGACGTTTCACTGTGCTTAGTGCCATTTGCAAACTTAAAAATGTTCCTCAATTTCCCCCTGCAAACCATTTATAAAAACAGGTCTGATGGCACTATATGCCCATTTCTCCTACCACTGATGTCACAATTAAAGCAGAACTTTGAAATCATCTGGTTCAACTCCATTCTTGTCCAGATGAACACACTGAGCTCCGAAGAAGTGAACTGGCTTGCTGATGAGTCAGAATTAGAACCTGGGGATATCAGGACTCAGTCTAGGGCTCTTTCTGCCACATCAGGTGGCCTCTTCACCTACATTTTTCATGGTATCTTCATTTGGCCTCTAATCTTGTCAGCTTTTTGTAAAGTCTAAATCAGAGTTTATAAATCTTGGGTACCAATTACTAAGTAACATTTAGAAATTTTATCACAGTGTCTAATATTTTCAATAGTAATTAATCGCAAAATAAATGTAAACTCAAATGCATGGCTTTATGTAATACACTGCACATATTAGGATTCTTATTAAGCAACAAATGTGTCATATTGACTCTGGATTCCACCCAATGCAAGAAAAACATGTTTGGTGGGGGCACCCAGACTAGCTTCTGCCTCCCTCTCTTGTCACCAGCTGATGCACCACAAAAAAGAGGAGGAAGTAGCATATTATTATAGTGACAAAAAGCATTTAATTTAGAGTCAATGTCTGAAGGTCCTTTCCATCTCTAAATTTTATGATACTGTGTTTCCCCATTATGAGCTTGCTGAAGTCCATCACAAACTGTACTTTACCTAACAGACCCTCAACTCATGGCCCTTGTTCCAGCAATCACTAATTTCAAATATTTCTGGTTGTCCTAGCCTTCTATCACCATATTTTTGTATCTAATAATGAGTCTCTACACCGTTCTCCCCTCCTCATCTACTTGCTCAGGAATGTAAAGGAGCAGGGTATAAAGCCCCTAGAACTGGAATCTTTCTTCTTGCCTTAAAGTATACCTAAGTGCTCCTCTTGCACGTTTAGGAAAGTAGAAAATCTACCTCAACAAGAGAAAATTCCCAGTCTTTTGTGAGGTCATGATTTTAGGTCATAAATAATATAATCCTGACTTTCTCCTTCTAATATCTCAGCCTGTAAATGTTTTTAAAATGGCTAACAGGTTTTAGGATCTGAAATGCGCTTTTTTTACATTTGAAAAGCACTTTTTAATATGTTGATAAATTTATCTAGCTCCGAAATTTTGGGGCAGCATTGGACTTGGAGTCAAAGACACATCATTGATTATTCAATATTAGGCAAGTCACTTCCTTCAAGACAACTGAGGAAACTAATCTATAAAATGTAATCTATAAAAAGTAAAATAATTCTTGCACTGTTTGTTTTACAGGGTTGTTGTGAGGAATGCTATGTGAACTGTAAAGTGCTACATAAATTTGCGCTATCATAATAATCCAAAGCAAATCTGTTGACCCTGAATCTAATTAAATTATGACTACTAATTCCCCTTGTTCACATGACACAAATACCTACAAGAAACTAACAGATTAGGTTTTTTAAGTCTGGCTTTCCAAGGTAGGAACCATGTTTGCTTTTCCTCAATGTGAAGCTTATGTGTTTAGCATTCCTACTACGAGTGTACTATGAGCTGAAACTGGAGCTAGAAACAATTGTTAAATTTTCAGTGAGAGCATTTATACTTTGAAAACAATTACAAATTTAAACATTGGAAATTGGCGAACACTAACAACTAGAGCTTGATTTACTGTCTACACTTAAAAACTGATGAGGAAAATGTTAATAATGTAGATTAAACTAAAAAGTGTATCCTGTGGTTTTTTTTTTTTTATTATCATTTTAAACTTTTTTTTTTAAACATTTAACAACACATCCCTGGATCCCTCTGTCTTTACCACAGTTTTCACTTTGACTATCATGGAAGAAAACCTTGCCAGGGCTTCTTTGAAACTTTTCTTATGAACAAAAACCATACTGCCAGTCCTTTAGCTCACTGGTCGCTTGTCACATCATTTGGGTCAATAAGCCCTCAATTTTTACTCTGGAGCCATCAAAACTGATGGTGGGTATGTCAATTCAAAAATATTCTGCATATATTTTTTCTAATACAACAAATTTGTCAATTTTTTAAAACTGGATGTAGGATTCTTCCTTAATGTGTTCTATAATAAAGGGCTATGTCTATTAATCAGTTCTCTAAGAATCAGGTCTCTCTGCTATCTCCCATGTGTCAATTCTGAATATACCTTCTGTACCAGGATAACTAATTGGTCCAACTGCCTGTGGCTGGCTTTTTCCCATAAGTAATTTTCCCATAAGTAATTCATAAGTAATTTCCAGTAAGTGGAAATTGTTTAAACATCACAGGTTAACTAATTTTTAAGAAATTTAATATATTATAGCTTCTGCACATTTTATACAGGAGCAATTTAATTTCTCCAATTTCTATAATGATTATAAAGACCAACTCTGTCATCACATAATTCAACTTTCTTAAATGTACCCCTTCAATTATTTTTTATTTTCCCATTTTCTGCTTCCACTACAAATTACTATAATTAAAATTCCATTAAACCAACTTTAGTCTCCTTTCCTACGCCCTTCCACTATATACTTTGGAATTAAAATGGTAAGTTTTTTCATACTTGGCTCAATCATCTCCAGCATAAAATGATCTTCAGCGAGAAATTAGGGACCTATGTCATTTGAGTTTTAAAAATTTTTAACATTCTAAAATAACTTCTATACATACAGGTATGCAAACACTCCGTTACAGTGGTAGCATCAATTAGGTATCCATTGCACAGGCGGCATGTGATATGGGCATTTATGTCCCAAAGCTTAATCTTTCTGGTCAACATCTTTGGTGTCTGTAAGAGGGAAAAGAAAAAAAATTAATTAAGATCTGAAAAAAGGTGAGCATTATTAAAAGTTCACTTTTTGTCTATGTACATCAGCTTAATAAATATGACTCTTTATATGATTGTTTACTTGATCTCATTTCAACACTTTTGCCCTGGTATGCTAGAGTCCTCTACCACAAAGAACCAAAGAGACAGACTTTAGTCAAGTACAGACAAAAATGAGCTAACTACTTTTGGCAGTACTAGAAGAGGTGGTATCTTATCTGAGAAACACTGAAAAAAGAACACTGAATTGTTCTTTGTATCAATTGCAATTGCCTTATGTGGAAAAACAGTTGTCAGAATATTGGCTTTTTTTCCCATTAATTTAGGAAAAGATTCATGTTCTTCCATAAACCTTGGAAAAGATTTGTGTTATCACAATATTTTGAAAAACACTGTCTATAATTTGGAATTACTAATCTAAATTTTGCTTAATTTCAACTTAAAGCTATTGAATAATTTAAATGGCACGCCAGAAATTTGCTTGGGTGCTTTCTTTAACATACAAAAATGACTGTAGCTCATCAGTAAAATGTGTTCATAGAATGATTTCTCTAGGAGTGGAGATGGCTTTGAGGCTGAGCCATCTGCTTAAGCACTGACATTCTTTTTCCTGGTCCTGTTGCAACCAATGGCATTTAATAAGGATAAAGCTGATATATAATAAAGAAATTAATTTTTCCCCTTAGTTGGAAGGTAAGTGGCCTTCTTGCAAATTAAACCCATTATCATAATGAGCTATTTGTATCCAAAGATATTTAATTTAGGTTAAAAAATAAAATAAATCAAACACTGGTCCAGGAGGAAAAACAGGCCTCCTCTATACGCTCCTTCTCCTCCTTTTCATAATGCCCATCTGTGATCATTTAAAAACTTCTCCTTTAAGGTTCTCTTCAGTCGAACAAGTACAGGGCTATCACAGTCATCTACAGGCCTTCCAGGTCATTCGCCCTCCATTTTTTTCTCTCTCAAATAATTTTTGTTTATACATCACTTCCATTTCCAAATAAACCCCCTTTCCTCTCTCCTCCACAGAAAATCATCCCCTGTAACAGGATAGTCACCAACCTGGATGGTGAACTGGGGGAAGGAAGGAAGGGGACAGGGTGGAGAAGACTGATTGAACTACATGCTCAAGTAACTGATAAAGATGGTTCTAGAAGATGACACCACAGTGTGGCGTGATCGTTATAGAATCTTAAAGCCGAAAGAAACCTCAAAAGGAATCTAATCCTAACCATAACTAGCAGAAATCCCACAGATGACAGCCTGGAGAAGTGACTTGAAACTTTCAGTCATGGGAAATTCACTCCTTCCATGCCAGGCAGGCCATTCTAGCCTTGAGCTCGCGCGCGCGCGCACACACACACACAGACACACAGACACACACACAATTATAAACTGTAATTCTACATATAGAATTATAGATGAAGAAGAGATGTAAGTAGGCAGAGCAGTTATTATTATCCCCACTTTAGAGATGAGAAAACTGAAGCTGAGTTTGGCTACATTGAGCAATTTGCTCCGTCAGCCAGCAGTGCTCTAAGCCCATGGCCTGTCCTCTGCACTCTGCTGCCTGGCATCACGGTGCTGCCCTTCATTCAGAAGGCATAGCAGCTCCTCCTCTTGCCTTGAATGAGGGGAAGTGAAGAAAGGAACAGACTCTTTGAGGAAGGTATTAAAGGATACAGTGTCACAGAGGAAAATAAACTTCAGTTTAATTGAGGGAGGCTACAAGAAGAAAAGTTTGAGGATGTATGGGAAATCTGTTTATAAGCACAGTAGAAGGATCTTTGTTCAAATCCCAGCTCGACTACTCCCTGTGTGATTTTAGGCTTGCAAGAGCTGGACTAGATAATAACTCATCTTCACACAATGCTTTGGGATTTACAAAAGCACTTTGTTCACAATGCCTCACCATCCTGCAAGACCACATCAGCTTTGGTACTCACACACCCCATCAGAAGCCCCGCTCTCCCTAACAACTTCTGATAAGAGGGCAGGAGTATAGAGCACTGCCCAAAACACCCATGTAAGGAGGCTCATGTCTTCATTTCCCACCCAGATGATCTCCTTTGGCTTTCTCCATCAAGCTCTAGCCTGGACTGGTATGTTCTCTTCCTGCCCCTCCCCACTTTTCAGCTTCCTTTGGTGTGCTGTCTTCCTCATTAGACTGTATACTCCTTGAGGACAGGAACTGTCTTTCTTTTTCGTACATGTATCCCTAGAACACAGCAGTACTGGGCACATAGTAGGCACTTAAATGTTTATCAACTGACAAGTATTTTTCAGAGAAGATTACACACGTCCATGGTGACACAGCTAGGTATTGTTATAGCCAATATAGTCCCCTGATTACGTCCCACTGTTACAATATTTTATGGCGATTCAATTATCACTAAGATCCCTTTCAACTCTCAAACCTGTGATCTCAGTTTCTCGGCAGTGAGAAACAGAAAAGATGAAGGAGTCTAGGATTTAGAAAGGGTAGTGATAAGTGCTTGATCAGTGAGTAAATACTTGACTATTTTTCTTTCTTTTTAAAATTTAAAATTTTATTTTTAAACTTAAAAATACAAAATAAGGAAAAAAAATTGCCATGTGCAGAACATGAGAGGATTCAATATAAAGCAATACATTTCCATTTCAAGAAAACCTATAATGAACACTACACATTATTTTCAAAGCTGTCCATCTTTTCTTTGCTTCCCTGTATGTTTTCTTGTCCTCTGCTGTGTGCTTTTCATTGTATATTTTTCCCCTTCCTCCCCCCACCCCCAAAGGCTACAATTAAATGCAGAGATGTATAGGTAAGCGTATGTACATACATACGTATGTATACACATATACATACACATATACATAGACATTCATAAACATACACATATCTGCACATATACACTCAAACACACAGTATTATGCTTATTTCCACTTGTCATGTGTTTCTCTGAGGGTGGATAGCATCTTCCTTCATAAGTCTAAGTCTTTCCATATTTTTCTAAATCCACCAACTCATCATTTCCTACACCACATCAATATTCTGACCCAATTACATTCTATCTTGGAGATTGTTTATGAGAATTTCCCCCAAATTTTCTATATTCCCTCTATTTTTGGCTATATATATTTTATTTATACAAGAAAATTTTAATTTAAAATAATCAAAATTATCCATTTTATCCTTACTCAGGTCTGATACTACTGAATCTAGTTCCTTCACATCTTTTCTCCCGGTTTCCTTGAAGTTCCTGACCCTCTGCTCTTCCAAATGAACGCTGTTATTATTTTTTCTGACAGATAAATTTCTAGTAATTTAATTCGGATGGCATTATAAATAGATTAGTTAGATAAAGCTGTCATTTTAAAAATTATACTAGTTTTACCTACCCATGCAAATAAATATTACTTCAATTATTTAGATCTGACTTTGTATAAAAGCTATTTTGTGTTTATATTTACACACATAGTTCCTATGTCTTTTTTGGCAGGTATACGCTCATTTTTTTTTTTTACTGTCTAGTTATTTTTTATGATCTAAAGCTATTAATATGGCTGACACTTGTTGTAGTTTCCCTATTTTTCTCCTTTGATTAAATCTGATTTTAGCTTTAACTCTGTCTGAGATCATGATTACTATCCCTGCTTTATTAGATAATAAATTCTACTCCTGCCTTTATTTTATGTTTGTGTGTATCTCTCATTTTTACAGCATTTCTTGAAAGCAACATTTCTTGTATTAGTTCCCCTCTAATAGGTAAATTTATTCCATTCACATTCTAAACTATAATTATTTGTTGTATATTTTCCTTCTTTCTTTTTTCCTCACTATCCTTCTCACCCTATTCCTATCCTTCCTCACTCCTCTACTTTACTTTTATCCATTACCTTGCCCTCCTATTCCTTAACCTAACCCCCCCCAAGAATACCTCCTGTGACTTCTCCCACCATCCTATCCCCTTACCCTCTTATTTCTTTCAGAATTTAGATTTTTATACCCTTTTAAATATGTTATTCCCTTTTTATCCCACTCCCATTAATCTATACATCCTTCTATACCCACCCTTATCCTATTCTCTCTCTCTCCCTTATTCTACCCATCCCTTTACCCTCTTATTTCTTTCTGAATTTAGAAGATTTTTATGCCCTTCTAGATATATGTATTGTTCCCCCTTTCACCCATTCCCCATGAGAGCAGGGTTCCAGAACTACCCTCCCTCCTCCCCCATCTAATTCCTTTGTATCAGTTCCTCCTCTTGTACCTCATCTGTATGAGATAATCACTCTTTTTACCTTTTCCTAAATCATTTTGCTCTTTAGAATCACATCATATTCAGCTCTACCTCACTCTTTCTTTAGAACTACCCAATTACTAATGACAACATTTCCACATAAAAAGTAAACAATGTCCTTGTTGAGTCCCTTGTAATTTCTCTTTGACGTTTACCTTATATTTCTCTTGAATGTATTAATTTTCTATTAAGTTCTGGTCTTTTTGCAATAAATTCTTAAAAGTCTGTCAATTCACTGAATGTCAATTCTTTTTTTTTTATTCAGGATTACACTTAACTTTGCTGGGCATGATATTTTCGGCCATGACCCCAGTTCTTCTGCTCTTTGATATACAGAGCTCCAAGACCTGTGCAGTCTTTTAGTGTAGCCACTGCTAGGTCTTCTGTAATTCTAACTGTGGCACACATCCCTCTATATCTGAATTGTTTTTTCTTGTTACTAGTAATATTTTCTCCTGGGGGTTTTGTAATTTGGCTACGATAATCCTGAAGGTTTTCCTCGTAGGATCTCTTTCAGGTGGTAATCGGTGGATTTTTTCTATTTCCACTTTCCCTTCTGTTGTTCTAATACTTCAGGACAATTTTCTTTAATTATTTCTTGTATTAATATATTCTTTTTTTGATCATAGTTTTCATTTCAGGTAGTCCAATTATTCTTATGTTTTCTCTTCCTGA